ACCAGGTACCTATTGACCATCGTTTGGTCAGAGTTCTCTGCCTCATGTCTACCCTCTGACCTGCCTCATGGTGACCTTACGACTAATACCTGAGTCGTGCCGAGTCCGGACCCCTCCCAATGAGTAAGCGCTCCTGCTGTCACATCAGTCACCTGCCTGTGAGTGAGGATGGGCGCTCCTGGCCGTCACGAGGTCTGGGGTTCGATCCTGGCCCCTCCACTTTCCGATACGAGTTGTCCGCGGTCAAGGTGAGCGTCTGTCCCAGTACACATGACCCCCAGGTCACGTGGCACGAGAAAACTGTGACAACGGCCCCGCGTCTTCTTTGTCTGAGTCGCCCTCGCTTCCGCCTAGTCAGAACAACTACACTCCTAGGGCCTATCATCCTCCACTTCCCCAGCCGTCACTGAGCTGACATCCACTTTGGCGTCTCCCTTCTAGCAACTGTTATGGCCTCGGATTTAGTGTTTGCCGACGTTCCTCTATTGCGTGCTGTGCTTCTGTCCTCTGTGCCTGACCTTTATGCTCTCTCCCCTCATGGCCGTTCTGCGCTCGCGCTGCTGTCGTACCGTATTTGCCCTCAATGAATATTTCTATCATATCTTTTCATGTGTGATATTGTGCCCAATGGTCAGAGCGTGTGCTGGCAACGGACCTCCATTGTCAACACCATCCCTGTCCATCCATACAATGGGATTGGCATGGGAACTCCTGGCTCGCATGATAATCCCTGGCCGAGCGCGCCCATGTGTTCCAGTGCAAGCTTATTGAATATAATGACGGCTCGATATAATATGATGATCACAGGATTTTAGCTCTCATATCTAATGCCATTACACCGTCCATCTTGCCAAGATTAGCGTTATAATAAAAGGCTATGTAGCCTTTCCTTATATTGCCATTACAACCAGCATTACAGTGCTTCGACATTTTTGCTGATGTGGCTGCAGGTCAGGGCAAAAGCACACAGCATGTTCTTGTCGCCGGAGGAGTGGTCGATGGCTCTCTCGATGACCTCCCATGGAAGCGCGGGAACCGGGGTGGTGGGACGTAGGGAGTTTGCAAGGTCGTTCAATAAGAGGGCATCTGTCGTCGGTGAGTGATGCGGCGAGCTCGAGATGAGTAAGTAGGGGTGCTAAATCGTCGAGGCCACTGGTCGCGTTAGGCAATTGATGGGGAATGATGGACCCCCGCATTTGGCAAGCGAGCGACGTCGGGCTTCGCGTTCCTTCCCATTTTACGGGCCTACCGCTCTCAACAAGGTAGTGGAAACGTGAATCTTAAGTGTATCGAAGACGAGAGCCATATACGTCGATTGACACCAATGTCGAGGGACTTTGTGCGGGAGGACCAGTGTCAGCATCGCTGCAGAGCTGTTAGTAGATGCCCCGATGTTTCTGTTCGAACTCTGGCGACAGATCACCACCGTCCGCTACATGTACAGCCTACCTCTAGTGGTGGTTCAGCGAGCAGGTACTTTCGCGCAATCCCTGTCCGCTTGCTTCTGTCGCCTCACCTTCACTTCTCTCACAACGGTCTCCGGAGCTTTCTGGATGTTCGAATAGAATGGTACATTGTCAAGATTCAACATCTCTACCCTCGTTTGCCTCCTCAATGAAGCAAACATGATAGTCGAGCGACTTCCTAACTAGCTTGATACCTACATCGCCGAGTGTTGAACAACGAGCGTGACGAGTTGAGCCGGAGTTCGGACGCACAGAGAGCTATAAGTGGTTGCTCGATAGATGCAGCTGCGGGAGGCACGAAGAACCCTACATTCATCTGCCGTCGGTTCGGCTAGTCCTGTATGTATGTACCATGCCAGAGGGGTCAAAGAAAGGACGCGTGATTGGTGCTTATATCTGGATGTTGGAGGCGAAGAGGGACGAAAACGCCAGGTTCCGCGTAGCATAGCGCTTGACGCGTGCTGGATGTTATATCGCGGAACTTCTCCCTATGCCCCGCAGCGACGTATCTTGACAGGCGACGAGTCAGGATACGCGAACAAGTTCAGCGCGTCGTCCGAAGACGGCTCGACGTACGCATTGCGCACGGGGCTACTTCCAGGCTCGAGGTCCACGCGCGTGTTTCGCCGCCCAACCTCCTTCTCATACCCCTCTTCCTCGTCCTCGTCCTCGTTCGCCGAGGACCTTCTCCCGAGCGCGTGAAATGGCCGCTTACGGTTGGTCGAGTGCGAGTGCGAGCTCAATCGTGAGTGCGAATGCGCGACAGAGGAAGCCTTCCCCTGCTCTCGCCGTGCGCGCTCCTCGCGCAACGAGATCGCATTCTTGTGCGAGTCCGCGAGCGCAGTTGCGAAGTTGAGGCGGCGCCGCGGGGCAACTGGCGTCCAGGGCGCAGGGGCCGACACGCTCGCACTCGCGGGCGATTCGGGAATGGCGAAGACATGCGGGAGGCGAGAGGGTGCGGATGCCCGAGGCTTTGCCTTCTCTTGCGGCTTCGCCTTCGTCTGATTTTTGGCTGTGCGCTCGCCACGGAGAGAGATGACGTTCTGACGCGAGTCGGAGAGAACGGTGGCGAAGCTGCGGATGCGCCTGGGAGCTGGGGTAGGCTCGCCTTCCTCATCGTCCGATTTCTCATCGTCATGTTCAGAAGAGTTCTCCTTCTCGTGCGAGTGGGGTAGGGCCCGGGAGGCAGAGCGACTAGAGCTCGTGGCAGGAGCCTGCACCCTCGTCGCCGCAGCACGTCCATCTTCGAGTTTGCGCCGCTTGCTCGCCCGAGCCAACTCCTTCTCCCTCATCGCCTTCGCCTTGATGACCGCAGGGGACTTGACCACCCAAGAACCAACAAGCTCCTCCCACACCCACTCTTGTTCTCCTTCGGGAGCCCGTGACGCACCATGCCTTGCGCCGCCATAACAGCGCCGCTCGGCGTCCTCGACGCGATCCATGAGCTGCAGCCGGAGGTCGAATAGCTCCTTCTCGCTGAGCGGCTGCCTTTCTAGGTTCGGTGAAGGGCTGGAATAAATGACAGGAGCAGCGATGAGCTCCTCGACGTGCTGCATCGCACTGATGTAGAGCGAGACTTCGCACGTGTGGAGGCCCCGCGCGCGGAGTGGAGCTGCGAGGGCGTCGATCGCGGGTGCGCTGCCATCGCCCGGTGTGGGCAGGGTCGGAGGGGTTGTGGGGGTCTCTTCCGTAGTTTGTGGGAGGGGAGGGTGAAAGACGGCGAGTGAGGGGAGTGGGAAGACGTGGGAGACGAGCCCGTCGAAGGTCGTGTTCTTGACGTGCGCTGTGTGGAGGAGGCTCTCCAGGACGAGGAGGTCGGGATTGAGGGTGGGCGATGGAGGTGCGGGGAGTGACACGAGGCAGTACACAGCGAGACAGCAGAGGGCGTCGGCTAGGCATGTCGTTGGCGACGTCGCTGGCTCTGTGCTAATGTGTAGACGAAGCGGCTCGATATCTACAAGGAAGTCGACGCAAGCTCGGTAATCCAGCCCTACAGCACCGCTCGGCGTGTACGCGCGGGCGTGCAGCCTGTCGAGCATGGACCCAACCCACTTGGCCAGCCGCTCCATGGCGGCGGTACGCAGCTCGGTATGCACGTCGTCGAGCGTCTTGCCGTGCTTGGAGCTATCCGACTTCTGTCTCGACCTGGCGACCTGGTGGATAGAATGGGCCAGCCCAGCACACAGAGGCACGAAGCATCCCTCGAAGTCGTGCTCTCGTAGATCGCGGGCGAGCTTGGTGACGGCCCTTGACGTCCAGGCATGCATCTGCTCTGGGCAGGGCTGCGAGAGCGCGTCGACGAGGATGCGGGTGTAAGTCCGGTTGTTGATGACGGGGTTACTATCGGTCACTGGAACGCTGGAGAGTGGGACAGAGCCGGTGCAGGTGTCGCGGAGGGAGGTTAGGAAGTTCTTGTGTGCAGGGTGTGTAAGAGGACATGGACAAGTGGAATGTGGGCGAGGCTGAATGGCCACGGTGAAAAGCTGTAGCAGGACAATGCGAGCTTCGGGTTCCAAGCCAAAGGATACGCAGACTTCGAGGAGCGCGTTGAGGAGAGTGGGATGGTGCGGACATGTGTCCAAGATGTATGTTAGCGCATGCGCCACGAGGGTGAAGCTGGGTTATAATTAGCATGGGATCATCATACGCCGTAAAGTCATATGCTCACTGTCTGTATTGCGTTGGGACGTTATCGTATAGGCCTTCGATGGTCTGTGAACGGATCTGGTCTTCACGACCTTCGGAACTGGGGTCTTCGTGAACCGCTGCCTCCGCTTCGGACTGAGCGAGCTCTCCGATCATCCTAGCACAAATGCTGGTGAGAGAGGGAATCTCATGCGTTTCTCCTAGTTGTTCCCGGGAACCATCGAAAGAAGCTTGGACGATGTTCCTAAAAGTGTCCCTGACTTCGTAGATGCGCTTGGACAGTTGCATGTTCTGAATGATCGCGCGGTCGAGATGAAGTCGTGCCCCGAGTTTATCAAGGGATTGCAGGATAGCTAGTGGGGGTGGCTCATCGTCTTTGATTGGTTGTCTTGTTTGCGAGGAGCGGCCATAGGTAATTGTGACAGTGGGTTTCGGCGGGGCAACAATCAAGGAATTGAGGGCGGTACATTTGTTGCGCAAGGTGCGAAAGTGTCGAGTGGTTCTGGTGGTAGTGAGCTCCGACATCTGCAGGAACCCAGACGTGTGGTATCGCGCGGGGGATGAAGGAGAGGAATGAGGAAGGGGAGATCAACGTCGCGGACGGTGAGGACGGGGTCGAGGAGCGATGTTGGCCTCAGCCACCGACGCGCCGGCGTCTCGTGGACGCGGTTGTGGCAAATTGAGACTCCGCCGCTAATGAGCGCGACGCGTGCTGCAACTCCTCGTCTTTCTCTTCTCCACCCTTCCCACCCGCCCGCGCCCCGCCAGATCACAAATCACTCACATGGAGGTATGTATCTGCTGCATATATGTGTGTACTTTCTGACGTGCTGTAGACTCCTCGTGGCGCGAAACGTCGTCGGTCAGTGACGCCCCCGCCGGGGTCCTCACCACCCGGACCATCGCGCGTCGAACGCGACGAAGAGTCCTCCCTTCCCCCTTCCTCACCTCCTGCCCCCTTTTCCGACACTGACGAGAGCTTGGATGAACGCGATGCCGTAAAAGATGTCAACGATGAACCAGATGAGGGCGACGATGGAGAGGATCTGTTCGCTGAGGAATTCGAAGAGTACGTGTCTTCCTTGAGAAACCTTGGCTCTGAACGACCGAACTTTGTTTTCCTGCGGGCGTCCCCTTGAGAAACGTGGTTGCATGTTGTCCTAGCTCGTTTCTAAGGCCGAGAGACGCGTACAGAACGACACGAACTCGGACTCGATAGGGTCTAAAGGGAGGAGACGCTCTCTTGAACAATATGGAGTATCTGCCCAACTATGACGGTCTGGTTACGATCTTACCATTCTGTGGCTGGGGATCTCCTTTTCACTAGCAGACTGCACCTCTTGTTGTCTTCCACAGACAGAACATGTATATGAAGGTGAACCTACACTAATGCGGTTGATTCATAGTGACTATGCGACGAACGAGCTGCTAGACAGATACTCGGACCGTGACATCGATGACGACGAGAATGTAGAGGAGATGACCGCTGCTCAGCGACGCGCCGCCGAGGCTACCATGGCACGCCGGGACCGCCTCGAGCGCGGTGGCCGACGTCGCCGTGCGGCAGCCCGTGGTATCATGCCGGACTTCTTTCAGAGTGATGGTGAGGACGACGACGAGGCCGAGGGTGGACTGTTGTCCGGTATGAAGAGGCGTACCCGTAAGCAATACGACGAGAGAAGAGACATGGATGACATGGATGGCGTGGAGGACGTGAGTAATACGCCTCAGACTCGAAGGCTGATGCTTGACCTTGTTTGTATCACTAGGAATTGCCCTATGAGCAGTTGAGCGACATAAAGAGCAACTCCATCGCCGAATGGATTGTGCTCGATCGCGTTCGCAGGACCATCGTGCGCCACTTCCGTCAATTCCTCATGACTTACGTAGATGAGCACGGAGCATCAGTATACGGCCAGCGTATCCGCCATCTCGGAGAAAGTGAGTACACCAACGCGCTCGGCATATTATTGCATCTGATGTTCGCGTAGACAACTCCGAGTCGCTCGAGGTTTCCTACCTACACCTTTCTGACTCCAAGCCTATCCTCGCTTACTTCCTCACGAACTGCCCCACTGCTATGCTGGCTATCTTCGATGAGGTCGCTCTCAGCGCGATCCTGATCTACTACCCTGCCTATGAGCGCATCCACTCAGAGGTGCACGTCCGGATCACTGACCTTCCTCTCACCGCCTCGCTCCGTGACCTTCGTCGAGCCAACCTCAACAAGCTTGTACGCGTTACTGGTGTTGTGACCCGCCGCACTGGGGTCTTCCCGCAGCTCAAGTACGTCAAGTTCGATTGCCGCAAGTGCGGGGCGGTCCTCGGTCCGTTCTACCAAGACTCAACGCGGGAGGTAAAGATCAGCTACTGCCCCAACTGCGAGGGCAGGGGGCCTTTCGCCATAAACTCAGAGCAGGTACGTTTGCGTGTTGATAGTCGTGACTTCCATACTCACGCCTTCACAGACTGTGTACCGCAACTATCAGAAGATGACTCTGCAAGAGTCTCCTGGGAGCGTACCTCCTGGCCGACTCCCGAGACACCGAGAGGTTGTCTTGCTGTGGGATCTTATCGATAGGGCAAAGCCCGGAGAGGAGATCGTAAGCGGCGCACTCTTCGCTCACACGTTTCGCTCTTTAACGATGATTCTAGGAGCTCACCGGAGTGTATCGCAACAACTTCGACGCTTCGCTCAACTCAAAGAATGGTTTCCCCGTCTTCTCGACGATCATCGAGGCTAACAACATCAACAAGAAGGAGGATCAGTTTGCTGCTTTCCGACTTACTGAAGAGGACGAGAAGGAGATACGTGCTCTTGCCCGAGATGATCGTATCCGGAAGCGGATCGTCAAGTCCATCGCCCCCTCAATTTACGGACACGAGGATATCAAGACCGCTATCGCGCTCTCACTATTTAGCGGTGTAGCTAAGGACATCAACCGAAAGCACCGAATCCGTGGAGACATCAACGTCCTGCTGCTAGGCGATCCCGGTACCGCGAAGTCGCAATTCCTGAAGTATGTCGAGAAGACTGCCCACCGCTCCGTCTTCGCCACCGGTCAGGGCGCGTCCGCGGTCGGTCTCACCGCCAGCGTCCGAAAAGACCCCATCACGCGCGAGTGGACGCTTGAGGGTGGTGCGCTCGTGCTCGCCGACAAGGGCACGTGCCTCATCGACGAGTTCGACAAGATGAACGACTCGGACCGGACATCGATCCACGAGGCGATGGAGCAGCAGTCGATATCTATCTCGAAGGCGGGCATTGTTACGACGCTGCAGGCGCGGTGCGCCATCATTGCCGCCGCGAACCCGATTCGGGGGCGGTACAACCCGACAATCCCCTTCCAGCAGAATGTCGAGCTCACGGAACCGATCTTGTCGCGGTTTGATGTGTTGTGCGTGGTGAAGGACACGGTCGACCCGGTGCAGGATGAGTTGCTTGCGCGATTCGTGGTCGGCAGTCATCTGAGGAGCCATCCGAAGTTCGACTCGAGCAAGGAAGAGATGGACGTCGGGACCATCTTGGACGCGGACGTGCGTACCCTCTGACTGTCCGTCACTTTGACTCTTTCACTGACCTCACCTTACAGATCATCCCCCAAGACCTGCTCCGCAAGTATATCATGTACGCCAAAGAGAAGGTTCGTCCGAAGTTGTACGACCTCGACCAGGAGAAACTTTCGCGGCTGTTCTCGGACCTCCGGCGCGAGTCCCTCGCGACTGGTTCGTACCCCATCACGGTGCGCCACCTGGAGAGCATGATCCGGATGGCGGAGGCGAGCGCGAAGATGGCGCTGCGCGAATATGTGCGTGCAGACGACATCGACCTCGCTATCTCGGTCGCGGTGGGGAGCTTCGTCAGTGCGCAGAAGATGTCGATCAAGAAGACGCTCGTGCGAGTACGTGCACATCTCACTACTGTGATGTCTACGTCTCCTTCGGTACGTCGGATGAGACTAGGGAGGTTGGTTCGCCGGGTTCCGAGCACCTCCGGCTACCGGACAGAGAAGCCTAACCTAGTCGCATTCGACGTGCCAGACGGGACTTCGGTATGGTGCGAGACGCTGATATGCTGTGGCGGCACGCTGTTTAGGGCTTCCGCAAGTACCTCACGCAGGCACGCGACCATGAAGAGCTGCTGGCGTTCATCTTGGGGCAAATTGTGAAGGAGAAAGCGCGGTTCTATCAGCTACAGAGGCACCAGCAGCCGGAATTGGTCACGATCAAGGTTTCCGAGCTGGACGAGCGGGTAAGTTTTCCAGGCATCCTGTCATTGCGTCGCAACTTTCTAAAGCTTCGACTCGGGCATTACAGGCTAAGGAACACGACATCTACGATACAGCTCCGTTCCTGCGGTCGAAGCTATTTGCGGCAAATGGTTATAAGCTGAAGGAAGGCACGATTGAGAAGGCGTTCAGGCGGGGGGACGAGGCGTAAATAAGCGATCAAAGGAAGGTCTGCCGCGGCGGCGTGGGCCTGCGGCGTTATCTGCAATAGATATCTGCGATTGGTGTTGTAAGGCATATTCTCTTGTTGCTGTCGTTGTCCTGTTGGTTGCTTTGTAACTCTTGTGTACATTGTAATCTACGCGTGCGTGCTCCCAAAGCTCATTGTGAAAATGCTTCCGGGGGGGAGGAAGACGCCAGTATCTGACATCATGCTCGGCTAAGAGGATCATCAAAGGCGCCACGCAGTCGCGCCGAAACGTGAATCATACAATCGCTGTGGTCGACGAAAGCCAGCGTCGGCATCTTGGACCCGGACCACAAGCGAGCCTCGCTTAGCGGAACGTCTTCCCGATAAGAGCTCGGACACAACACGAGGCTCACTTGTTTTCAACCTTGCACGCGCCCATCTTCTCGCGCGAGCTCTTCAGCTCTCTCCCTTTCACGACCCACGACGACGTCGAGCATAGCGGCGACGGCGGTGACGACCCTCATGCCCCCCTCCATCCCCCACGCGGCGTTGGAGCCTCTCTTCCTCCTTCGCGTACTCTCGCCCAGCATCGTCCTACTTTCCACTCTCTCGCTGCTCTTCAAGCGCCCCTCCGTGCCCACCCAACCACAGGCCCCCTCTCCTATCACCTCCGTCGTCGTCGCTACTCGCACGCATCGTCGCGCTCTCATCTATGCCTTCCTCTCCCTGACCAGTCTTACCTTCCTCCTCGACGGGTTCGCTTTCGTTGTGTACGCCGTCGTAAACAAGGATTGGCCTGCGTTCACCGGCCTCGAAGTCAATGCCGTCGCCGGAGTCTTGGCGTTCGCGGGCCTCGCGGCGCTCGGGGCATGGAAGGAAGTCAAAGGCGTCGATGTTTGGTCCTTAAACAGGCTCAAGATCGGCATCTTCGGTGCCCTGGCGTTAGATATTGCGCAGGTCGTTCTCCTCGCTCTTGCCATCCCTCGTGAGTACTTGAACCCTTGTGTGTCTTGTCGCCCGAACAGAGCAAGCCGGCGGGCAAAGCGGCGGCGTTGCGTGGTTACGAGCTCATAGGCGGCGAGCTCAACGCCCGAGGCGAGGCTTCGACACCATGTGGCTTGGATTCACGTAATTGTCGATCCTCTTGTCACCTATCCGGCGATTCCAGGGTTTGTGTGTATGCATCTCACTGACATGCAACGCGTACAGGTCCCCTTTCTACGGTTTACTTGCTTCACCTCGCATTCCCTTCTTTCCGTGTATTACTATTGGTTCCCCTCCTCTTCGCGCTCGTCTTCCCCCGCATCGCTTACGTCCCCGTGGAGGCTCAAGATGAAGAGACTCCGACGGATACCAGCTTGCTTCTACCTGCACAGGACGCGGCCGCCCCTTCTGCGGGCCTTTCCCTCTCCCCGGAGGCCAGCAAGTATGGCACCTTCCGCAGTGGCCGCACCATCGCACCAGCCTCCGGTGTTACCACTCGTACCAACACCCCCTCCCCTTCGACCGTGCGCCTTCCGCCGACAAAGGCTCAGGTGAGTGTTATGGCGCCTTCTAGCGCGCAAGCGGAGTTCCTGACGCAGAAATCGTCCCACTGCTCTTTGCACACTCGATTGTGGCTCCGCAGGAAGCAAAGGAAGATATCGCACTTGACCCGTCGTGGGGTGAGATCTTCGTCCGGATCAGGCGCATTGCCCCTTATCTGTGGCCATCGAAGAGCTTCGGGCTCCAACTGCTTGCAGTGCGTACAACACGTTTCCGGTCGTGTGATCCGCGACTGAATTTTATGTCTCGTGCTGCGTTCGCAGCTGTTTTGCCTGCTGATCATGATCGTCGGCCGAGTCGTGAACTTCCTCGTTCCGCTCGTCTTTTCGCAGCTCGTCCGTATCTTCGAGGAAGGCACCAAGGTGTCGCCATGGCCGTACCTCGGCGCGTATGTCGTCCTCCGGTTCTTGCAGTCCACCGGTGGTCTCGCTGCTCTTCGCGACGTAAGTTGTGGACAACGTGTTTGTGCTATCGAAACTCATTGCTTGACTGCGTTTCCTAGACCCTGTGGATCCCAGTCATGCAGTATTCCGATAGGGGTATGCGTAGTTTAGCCCTCCCGCGCCCTGAACGAGACTGACAGACTATCACAGAGATGTCGCAACTGTCATTTGATCACCTTCTCCAGCTGTCGTTCGCGTTCCACACGCGCCGCAAGACCGGCGAAATCCTGCGCATTCTCGACCGTGGCGCTGCGATCAATCGCACCTTCGAAGTATGCACCACTTTGCCTTTGCGTATCACAGTATGCGACGATGCTCACTCGACGTGCGACGCAGACTCTTGTCTTCAATGTTTTGCCCACATTCGCGGATATCGCTGTTGCGCTTGTGTTCTTCGTCATTTACTTCGAATGGACCCTCGCACTCGTGATCTTCGCCGTGATGGCGGCTTACGGTAAGTCGGAGCAAGTAAGAAACTTGCGCATACAATCGACTTTGCTAACGTGATCATCGCAGTCACTGCGAGCGTTGTGCTCACCAGGTGGCGTACGAAGCTCCGGAGGGCGATGAACGACCGCGATGTGGCCATCCGTGGTATTCATACCGACTGCCTGCTCAACTACGAGACTGTGAAGTATTTTAACGGCGAGCAGCATGAGGGCGAACGCTACCGCGAGGCAATCCGTCAGTACCAGAGTCTCGAGTACAAGGTCATGGGTAAAGCGCTCTTTCAATCATCTATCCTTCAGGAGTGATCTAAATGCGCAAATCATAGTTTCCCTTAACCTCCTCAATCTCATCCAGAACTTCATCATCGTGAGTTTGGCTTCAATCGTATGGCCATACCCACAGTACTCACGGGTCGAAACAGTCCCTCGGCCTTCTCGTTGGATCCATGATCGTCGCTCTGCGTGTTGTGCGGGGCCAGTCGCAGCCTCACGAATTCGTGTTCTTCATCACGTACCTCGCTCAGCTGTACGGTCCCTTGAACATGCTTGGTTACCTATACCGCACGATCAATCAGTCTCTCGTCGACACTGAGCGTCTTCTGAAACTTCTCAACGAGCCCCGGGACATCAATGATAAGCCTAACGCCCCAGACCTCATCATCCAGGACGGCTCGCTTGAGTTCGGTGAGTGACCCCTCTCGGCGCCGAAAACGCGAATGGTCCATATTCACTTTGCAAATCCGTCAAATTCCGTAGAAAACGTCAGCTTCTCTTACGACAAGCGTACTACTGCTTTGGACGGCGTCTCCTTCAAGGTGCCCAAGGGCTCTTCGGTTGCTCTCGTGGGCGAATCCGGCGCGGGCAAGTCCACGATCTTGCGCCTCCTGTACCGCTTCTACGACCTCCAGGAGGGAGAGGGTCGCATATTGATCGACGGCCAAGATATCCGCGATGTCACTCAAGCAAGTTTGAGGAAGGCGATCGGCGTTGTTCCTCAAGACCCAGTCTTGTTCAACGCGAGCATTGGCTACAACATTGGGTAAGCTTCGTTGCAAAGTAGGCCACAATCATCGAACTTATACTTACTGGACACAGCTATGGCAAGTTCGGCGCAACCCAAGAGGAGATCGTTGCTGCCGCGAAGGCGGCTCAGATCCACGACCGCATCTTGAGCTTCCCCGACGGATACGACACCAAGGTCGGAGAGCGGGGTATCAGGCTGAGCGGGGGTGAAAAGCAGCGGGTTGCTATCGCCCGAACCCTACTCAAGGATCCTCCCATTCTGCTTTTGGACGAGGCTACAAGGTTCGTCTGGCAACATGATTGCGGCGCCGTTAAGTTACTCATGAGCACCCCAAAACGTCAGCGCCTTGGACACATCGACGGAGAAGGACATCCAGAAGGCGCTGCAGAACCTCGTGCAAGGACGGTCGTCGCTTTCTATCGCGCACCGGCTGTCGGTGAGTGCCGCTTTGCTATCAGAAGGCCGCCTTCAGCTCACGATCCGCCTGCCTAGACCATTGCTACTGCTGATGTGTATGTAATGTTGCTCTGTCATGAGGTTATGCGTGACTAAACTAGCCTGACGCTCTAGGATTCTGGTCCTGAAGGATGGCCGCATTGTCGAACAGGGTACTCATGCCGAACTTCTTGCTCTGGGTGGCGTCTTCGCCGCGATGTGGGCCGATCAGGTTTCCAGCAACGACGATGTATCCGCCCACCGGAAGTCCGCGGTTGTATCTGGCTTCGACGTCGACGGTGCTCCGCAGGAGCCTCTCACGGAGGCCATAGAGGCAGTCCCGCAAGTTGGCACAGAAGAGGTTGCACAGGACAAGCTCGCCGATAACGAGGGCAGTGCGGCTCCTGAGGAGACTGTCGCCGGTACACAAGACGCGCCTGCCGTGGCCTTCCCTGTCTCAGACGATAAAGAGGTGTCTGTAGAGCCCGTGGTCACGAGTGCGGAGCAGGCTCCTGAAGCCCCTGCTTCTGCGCCCGTCGCGTTCCCCAATTCCGAGGAATCGGCTCCTGTTGCGTTCCCCTCTGCCGACGATGCCGCTCCCCCGGTCGCCTTCCCCAGCTCGGATAGTCCCGCTCCTCTGGCCTTCCCGACTTCTCCTGAGACTGGTTCCCAGCGCGAGGGCTCGGTCGCTGAGCGGGCACCAGGTGTCACGTTCCAGGCTGCCCAGACGCCCGAACGCTCCGGCACCCCCGACCCTGAGGCGGACGGCAAGCGGAGGAGGACCTTGTCGACGCAGGGCATTCAGCGGCTTGCGCGGCGCATCTCGATCACTACTCGGAGACAAGGCTCGGGGTCGAACATCCCGTCCATTCCCACTATTGCGGGATCTATCCTTCCATCGCTGAAGCGCCAAGACACGGCGCGGTCGAGCACGGACGAGGGCAGCGTGAAGGACGCGACCGCCTCGAATGAGAGCCCGAGGGCAAGCGTGGCAAGCGACGTCGGAAAACCGAAGGGGTCGAAGATCAGGAAGGAGAAGAAGGACAAGAGGAAGAGCACGTCCTGAATGCGAGGGTCCGCAATGGGCTGATTCGTTCCCTTTCTGTTGTTGCACATGACTAGGCTGTTATCCCACCGTCTGCCACATGCCCTCCCCCGAGCCTTCGAGGCTCTCACCACTTCCGTTTCCATGTTTAGTGTCTGTTGATGTTTACATACAAACGTACATTCACCCCTTCCAGTCACGACTCACGATGCGACACGACAAGCGGCGGCGATACTGTAGTAATAGGGCGCCCAGAGGCGAACGCTCGAAGCACGCACGCATACATACACATTCCCGCACATCTCTGCATTACCAGTTGTCTCGGTCATCTATCGCGCATTTGTCTTTCGGCTGTTTTCGTAGCAATTGAGCAATCACGTTTTGTCCGAGTTTGGCAGGAGATGGCGTGCCTGGGAGCATTTTCGGGGCTCCCTGCATCCGGCCGCGAACTTTAAATGGCAGCTGTGGCCAGATGTGGCTATCGCACCCCTCTTTAGGGCGCTCTGGGTCCCGTCCCCTGCACGTGCTGCCCGCCGATTGGCTGGCATGGAGCTAGAACGGGGTGTGGATGGTCCGTGCGGATGCCGCCAATCTTTTGGGTTTCGGAGTTTCAATGAGATTGGGGGTGTATATAGAGGGGGGGGACCGCCCCGTTCGATCATCATCTCGCTCTTGCCCCGCCTCCTGCTTGTCCGTTCTCAGTCCCGGTTTCGTACGATTTCGGTTCCGTCGGTTCGTTCAAGAGGTTCCTCGCTGTAACAGTACCTACCAGACCCGGTCTCCAATCATCATCGTCGTCATGTCTACAAAAGTTTACGTTGGGTCAGTTTCGTTGAACATTTCACACACGGTTCCCATGTGCGGCCCCGCGTTTCAGAACTGCTCCGACTGATGCCTCCGTCTTGCGTCCCATCTGTTTAGCAACCTGAGCTGGAACACTACGGATGATAACCTGCGCAATGTCAGTTTGGTTCTTATCGCGCGACGGTCCCCGTCGTGTGTATTTGCTTTCCGTGCATCGTGTCTGATAGATTGTTGTTTGCCATGCGTTCCTCGCGATCACAGGCGTTCTCCACGTACGGCCAAATCCTCGACGTACGCGAATTTCCCGTGCCCCTAACATGAGACCTTCGTGGCTGTGCATCAAAATTGCCATGAGGTCTCGCTCCTAAGGCTTGTTCGCTAATGTTCGCTCCGCGATCTTTGGTTATGCAGTCGATCGTGATGCGCGATCGTGATACCGGCCGCTCCCGTGGCTTCGGTTTCGTCACCTTCAGCTCTGGCTCTGAGGCCCAGAGCGCGATCGCGAGCCTCAACGAGCAGGAGCTCGATGGCCGCCGCATCAAGGTCAACTTGGCCAATGCCCGTGGCTCCGGTGGCGGAGGCGGAGGTGAGATGATTTTCACTTGGCGGTCAGACTTGCTCTCATAGGCTAATTAGGCTATGGTGGAGGAGGCTACAGCGGCGGTGGCAGTGGCGGCTACGGCGGCAGTGAGTTCTTTTGTCGCCAGCTAGGCTGCGTGACGCTGACTGTTCGTTCGATCTCTAGGCCAGGGCGGCTACGGTGGTGGCAGCTACGGCGGTCAGGGTGCGTTTGGTCAGACTAGCTTCGGGGGTCCGCAAGGTTGCGATGCGTCGTAAACGCGGCCGACGTCGATAGGTAACTGACGAATGTTGTTCAGCAGGTGGCTACGGCCAGCAAGGCTTCCAGCAGGGAGGCTACGGCGGTGGCGGAGGCTACGGCGGCCAGCAGGGTGGTTACGGTGGCCAGAGCGGCTACGGCGCCCAGGGTGGCTACTAAGTGCTGACTGGTATGTCGTTCGTTCGTTTTCTCCACGATCGAGGCAGTTTTTGACGTTCATTACAGCACTTCCATCCTCGCGCTCGTTCAGTACGCGGGTCTCTAGACGTCGTCCCTGACGTCTCGTCTTTTCTTCTATATGTCTCCCCTCTCTCATAACATGTTTTCTTGCTCGACCCACTCATCCACAACACTCCTTATCATCGCTGTCGTTTCTGGTGCCACTCCTCGTCTGTCCTAGTCGTCTCGTTCATGATGCGTCTGGTTTCCCGTCACAATGCGGCTGTACTTGTAGGAGTCCCTCGTTCCCAGTGTACTACTTCCGTTCCCCCTTCTCCATAGTCTCGCCTCGGTTCCCCGCGCCGTTGTGGGTGGGTGTGTCAACTAAGCTTTTGTCATTGTATCAAATGTGAATCTTGAGTGTCGATTTCTCGCGCATCTCTTGGATCGTGTGATGACAGCGAAGTGCAAGGGGGATGGAATATGTAGACGATCTCAAATATTGGTGTCGATTTGACCGTACAACCAAGTACACCGTTCTGCCGAGTCGGTTGCGATTCCACAAGCAGTTCTCTTCGATGATCGACTAGGCGCAATCTACCGTCTTTCGCAACACTGTCAGAGACGTCTAATTGCGGATCTAAGCCCCCAGCTCTCATATAGACGACGACGACTGAACCAAGGCTGCACCCCTGTTGGATTGCGGAATTATACGCTTTCCCGAAGTACGGTGCTACTCAACGATCGCATGCCAGCCGTACTGGAAGGATTGTTGACTACGTGCACCCTCCGTTAGCTGGATGCGCACTATATCCTGGCGAAGACATGCGAACATGTCACTTATATTGAGCTAAAAGAGGTGTGGAATGCGAACACCCCCGTTATCACATTCTTCTCGAACTGGGGGGTCGAGGACATCGCGCTCAACAGGACGGGCCTGCAGCTGCTGAAGGATCTTGAGCACAGCGAAGATGAGCCCTCCCATGAAGAATTTCGACAGACAGGGACGAAGACGTAGGTCTCCTCGCTATATGCGCGGTCTCCACTTTCAGTGCTGACTTTGGTCGTAGGTCTAAGCATTTGTGCATATCCCTCTCTTGACGTAGTCCTCCACTACCCGTATGATATACCAATCTCATTTGTCAACTGCCATTTACTGCATCTCTTGTATTGCTCTCCGTATAGCATGAAGCGATCATGGCATTCTCCAGGATACCGTATGCGTGTTCCCTCCAGTCTGGCGTGCGTGTCGAATCTGGATCAAGGTCGTGTTCTATACAGGAGATGTGACGATGCCTTCCTCTATGCGGGTTGGGCACAAACCACTTTCGTAAGTTATATTAGGCATTAATATAATTCCCTGATCGTTCTGCAAACTGCGCTCCATAGTGATGATGCGTCCCTTGGGGGCGTTGCTGCAGAGCCACGCACCGAGTCACGAAAAGCAGATAGCAAACGTAGAATGTGTGATATCAGGGAATGAATCAAAATACATCTATACGTACAGGTGTCCTCGGGACGGTTATACACGTCAAACCTCATACTACTGCCTATCGCCGCGTTCTCAAGAGTCCCTACCCTAATATCGTCACCTCTAATCCATAGTCATGTGTATAGGGATAGGGGGTGCATCCCCTTGCTCCATCATTCATGCGCCCCACCCGCGCCCGAGTCTCCTGCACACCGCGCGCGCCACGTGCCCTCACGCAGTCTGCGGGCCCGCGAGGCGCACCTTCTCCTCGACGTCGCTCTCGTACAGCGCGAACGCCTTCTGGAACATGCCCGCGAGCTTCCTGACCTCGCGCTCGAACGCCTCCTTGTTCGGCCACGCGAGCCGCGGGTTCAGCAGCTCGCGCGGGACGCCCTCGAGCGCGACGGGCACCTGGAGGTTGAACACGCCGAACGTCTCGTACTCGGCCTTGGCGAGCTCGCCCGAGTGGACGGCGTCGACGATGCGGCGCGTGTACTTGAGCGGGCAGCGCTTGCCCGTGCCGAACTTGCCGCCCGTCCAGCCGGTGTTGATCAGCCAGCAGTCGACGTTGTTCTTCGCCATGCGCTCGGCGAGCATCTCGGCGTAGCGGCCAGGCTGTGTGAGGAGGGGCAATGTCAGTTGGAGTGGCATAAACGAAAAGGGCGGAGGGAGACGTACGTGAAGAACGATGAATGGCGCGGAGTAGCACGTCGAGAATGTCGGGATGGGCTCGAGGACGCCGTCCTCGGTACCGGGGGTCTTGCTGTACAAGACATGAGCATCGGCTTGTAGTGACTGCGCACGGCACTTACGAAGTGTAACCAGCCAAGAAGTGGTAGCTCGCCTGCTCAGGCGTGAGCTTCGCGACGGGTGGCAGGACACCGAAGGCGTCGCAAGTGAGCATGATAATGTTCTTGGGCTGGCTCGAGACATGGCACGGGATCTGCGCGTTGGGAATGAACTCGATCGGGTACGCGCAGCGCGTGTTCTCGGTGATGCTCGCGTCGTCGTAGTCGGGTACGCGCGTGACGGGGTTGTAGACAACGTTCTCGAGCACGGAGCCGAAGCGGATTGCGTTGAAGATCTCAGGCTCCTTCTCCGCGCTGAGGTTGATGCACTTGGCGTAGCACCCGCCCTCGATGTTGAACACGCCGTCGTCGGACCAGACGTGCTCGTCGTCGCCGATCAGCTTGCGCCGGGGGTCTGCCGAGAGCGTCGTCTTGCCCGTGCCGGAGAGACCGAAGAAGAGGGTGACGTCGCCGGCCTCGCCGACGTTGGCGGAAGAGTGGAGCGAGAGCTGGCCGAACTTCACGGGCTGCAGATAGTGCTGGAAAAGGGAGCGGGGCCTGATCAGCACCGGAACGGACCGAGATCGGACGGGAAGCAGGGCCTGACCATGACGGAGAAGACACCCTTCTTCATCTCGCCGGCGTACTCGGTCCCGAGGATGACCATCTCCATCCGCTTGAAGTTGATCTCGACGGATGTGGTCGACGACATGCCCTTCGTGAACCGGTTCGCCGGGAACTGGCCCGCGTTGTAGATGATGAAGTCGGGCTCGCCGAAGTCCTTCAGCTCCTCTTCCGTCGGCCGGATGAGCATGTTGTTCTAGAGTGCGGTCCGTGGTGAGCGAGATTTCCGCGACGGAGGGCCGCCCAGACACGCCCGCGCCCATTGCAGGACACATTTGTCCACGAACGGGCGAAGTCGGAAGGAAGCGGAAAGTGAGACGTACCATGAAGAGAGCATGATAGGCACGGGCGCAAATTACTCGCACTTTGATACGGTACTTCGGATCCCACTGCGGACCAACACATCGGTTCAGCTCCTTTTAACGCAAAACAGAATCGGAGACGGTACTCACGCCCGCGTAGCCGTCAAACACGTAGACATTGTCTCGCGTATTGAGGAAATCGATAGCGCGTTCGCGGTTGATCTCAAAGGTGTCTGCAGAAGCGCGTCAACCCGTTGTCCGCGCAGAAGTGGACACAGACACTTACGCTCGTCCATCTTGATGTTCACGGATCCCCACCAGATTTCATCTTTGGAGGTCTCCTCGTAGACAATGCGCTTGTCCTTGGGACTACGCCCGGTCTTCTTTCCCGAAAAGTTGATGAGCGCCCCGGACGACGAGACGACGGCACCTTCGTTCCGGATCGCGTCTTCGTACAGCACGGCGGGGGGCGCGTTGCGCTTGATCTGGATCCGGTCCATGTCGAAGCCGGCCTGGGAGAAGTACTCAAGCTCACGGCCGATGACTGCAGGTACATGGAGATCGTGTAAACGCGTCGGACACCCGACAAAATGATGTCATGCAACTCACGGGCTGAGACCTCCGCATCGTACGCCTGCGCGTAGTGCTTATGGAGGATGTGGGGGGTAACGTATGGGGTTCCGTGAGTGTAAACCATGATAGTCGACTGCTGAATGATGTCAATCAGCTGGGTCCGAGGGATGTGGGACGGCAGCAGCGGGCGCAGCTCCGGAACACGGCACGCGATGGGCTCGGGGCTCGGAGCACACGCTCGGGGTGCTAGAAAGACGCGATGGACTCACGATGCGCACTGGGCAGCGAGCTGGATGTGTGCGATGGTACGGGAGGACTTGTAGGAGGCGTGGGTGAGGGGCGATCGAGCGGGTGGAGCTTGGGGACGAAGACTTTATAGCAGAGAGGAGGCGAAGCATCCAACGGGTTTGATTCCAAATATGGTAGGGGGCTCGTGCAATCACGCGGGGTGCTGGGTGCAAGACCCGGTCCTGTCCGTAGCGCGGGACACCGAACGGAAGTCCTCTCGTTCTTCGCACTGGAGACGCAGACGGGGCTAGGCAAGCTGGCGGCCCCGCGCGCACTGCGAGGGGGCTCCGGGGAGGGTGGGGAGGCCGTCGTGATGGGCGGAAGGCAAGGATGAGTGGGCTGCAGAGGTGTGCGCACCGACAGTTATCCGACACATGGGCTTCCTTCCCCAGGAGCCTATACTAAAGGGGCTGCGCTCACATGAGCACCAGCCTGGCCGCATCCAGCCGTCTACCACCGCTGCAGGGGCCGTCTTCCTCGCAGCACCCGTCGTCCTCGATGCAGCCGCTCGACGCTCGCGCATGCGGAGGCGCCTCAGTCCCCGCGCGCCGTCGCCTCCCACATCGGACGCGGGGACACGGAGACGGCTCATGGATGCGGGGGCGTTACGGGCCTCCACCGGAAAGCGCGCCCATAATCTGCCATAATCTACGTCGGACCACTATTTCCGGTGTTGCGCATGAGATTCTGACATATGACGTACGGGAATGGACACTCGTTCACGCACCGGGGCCACCCACGGTCTTGCTCCGTGATGAGCTCTCTCTTCACAGCGACAACAGCCTCGACATGACCATGACCCGGCCGAGCATTTGGGCACCTCTGACCAGTTCATGCGTCTCAGCCACCGGCGACGGACGTCGGGCATGGGATCGCGGTTGGGGAGATGAGGAGAGGGAGATGTGGGTAATGGTGAAGTCGAAGTCGTACAGTACGTATGTACTTACGTCGAAGTTGCCCTGCTGTCGCCTACTGTATTCCGGTAATTCTACCACGTTTTTCCCGCTTCATCATCCGTTCGTCTAGTCTCGGCTCCAGACGTTCCACAGCCCTCTCTGCCCCGGCACTCGATGCTTCGCTACGCTCAGCAAGCCCTGGGAGGGAGGAGGACAAATTAGGAAGGAAGGATTGATGGAAAGGATCGTGAATGGATCTGAAGAGGGGGGAACGAGCGCCGGGGGAGAGAGGGCTGTAGAACGTCTGGTGCATTTCGGGCTCGGCAGAGGGTACCGTGACTTCGGGTTACTCGGGGTGACCAGCGTGACTCCCGCCCTCAATAGGACCAAGTCTACAGCCTCAAAAGCCACCCGTCAACTACCTTCTGTCTGGCATAGTCTGTTATTCAAGAGTTCTCCACGCAATTAACCAGTTTCATTATGCCATGAAGGTCATAGGAGGGGAATGAGGGACAGTGTGACCAACGCGGGCGCTCCTTGGGGGGCTCGCCCATGTCCGCTGTGCTAGCATGACGCGCACCTTGTTCCTTGTGCATGACAAAAATTAGGTCATAACTTAACATAGCCATAAACAGAGTATTTGGGAAGATCTATATAGTGGAGAGAAGTACATGTGCTGATCATGTTTATTTGGACGGTTGGGCCCTCCACTAGCATTTGAGCGCCCATTGCAGTTGCATGAGGCTTATTCAGCTCTCCTTGGCTTTCACCGCTCGACATGAAGAGCATTGTCTGAGTCCAATACAAGCTTTTAATTCACATTGGCCAGAAGCCAAAATACAACCCTTCAAAGCTTCAAGTTTGAGGTGAGTCTCTGCACGGTGCATCTGGATGGGAGAGGCTGACAAAGCCCACGTGCTGTTACTGATCGTCACGGTACCCTCTGCCGAGCCCCAAATGCACCAGACGTTCTGGCGGTACTCTCAGGTACTGTGTGTAAGCGCCAGAACGGATGGGAACGAGACTACCGTTCGTCTATTGCCCGCAGCCTAGTGGCGAAGCAAGCGCCTTTCTGAACATGGCGAGATGCGATGCTGTTGATCCCGCTACTTAGCTGACAGGGCGGCAAACGGCCATCCGCGAAATCTCGTCTCGACTCGCGTCCGACATCATGGACCCATCGACGACGCACCCGCTCTTGGGTGTTACTGGTACTACTGCACAGGTTGCTATCTCGGCGCCGTCAACTGCAGTCCCGGGGGATGACCAACCGACGTGCGTTCGTCTGCATGTGTTTGTCTAAGGAAGGACTAACATGCTCTGCTCTCGAGCACAGGGTGATTCTTATCTTCGGATGGCGCAAGTCTTCCTTGCTTGAGCTGAGAAGATGGGCGACCCGCTGACTTCTGTGATAGTGGGCGCGAAGATGGCAACTCTACGGAAATATGGGGACGCATACACAAGACTTTACCCCTCCAGCAACCAAGTCATCGTCCAGGCCGACCCTCTTCGCTACTGGAAGTTTGGGCGCGGGCGGGCGAGTACTCTGTGTCTTTCTATGCTGAGCTAGGCTGACCTCCTCCGACCAGTAGGAACGAGCTGTCCTTCCTGCTGTACATAAGCTCGAACAAATGAACTTGCTCTCCGCGCCTCCGCAAGGTCCGCCCCCGCGGATATTGATACACGCCATGTCCAACGGTACGTACTAGCAGCTTCTGAGCTTCTCTGGTCAAATCTTATGCCTGAGATACACTCGACCGTAGGCGGAGTCATGTCTCTCTTCGACACGGCCGCCGTGCTTCGTAGGAAGAACATCCACCCGCCCACGGGCACCAAATGCGCAATCATATTCGACTCAGCACCCGCGCCGCCAACGCTTCCCCTCACGATCCGCGCCTTCACCGCCAGCACGCGCGGGCGGCTCCGGAAGCTCCTTGCGACGGGCATCCTCACAGTCGTGTACTTCCTCATCTTCGTCGTCCGTACGATTCTGCGGCGCCCAAGGCCCCTCGCGCAGGAGATCGCGGCGCTCAACGACCCGGCGCTGCTGCCTTGGACGTCCGCGAAGACGCCGAGGATGTATTTTTACTCGACGGGAGATGTGATCGTTCCCTCGACTGCGGTCGAGGAGCATGCTGCGAAGGCGAGGATGGCGGGGTTCCCGGTTGAGATGATCAACTTCGGGAAGAGCGCTCATGTATCTCATGCGCGGGACAACCCAGAAAAGTATTGGGAGGCTGTCAGGACATTCTGGTCGGGCGCGATGAGGCGATAGCTACTTGGCGTCAGCTTATTTATGTGCGTGATAATTTATATGCTGGTATTCGATGTGACGCTTATCAGGAAGATGGCGCTGCGTATAGATGGATTTATAACCGCCACAACAACATCTGTGGAACCTCGCTGCGGCTGGGTAGTGAGGGCGTTGCCACCTTCTCGATCTATCTGTCTGCTGTCGTTTCTTCTTTGATACTCCGCCTTGCTCGCAATATGTCTTACATCTCCAAGGTTGGGGACACTTATAGGAACGTTCCCACTCGGTCGTGGTATATTTGTGGATCTACCACAGAAGCGAACGAATAAGGGTCGACAGCTCCCTGGATGCTTCGAGTAACATAAAAGGCCTTCCCCACCTGTCGGGAATGGGGCCCCCAGCTATCTAGGATGGATTTCGTCGCTCGAGCTGACGTGGACGACTCGAGTTCGGATACAGTTTTACTCATCATATTCACCGGGACCTGGTTGTCGCTTTTGTAGGTCACCTACGCCCTCGTGCTGAGCGTACTGAGGAACTCAGGTGCTGTTCAGACTCACCGGTCAATCGGCTCAAGAAGCGTACACTTATTTCTGCCGCTATCCAAAGGATGGATACGACATGAAGTGTCTCGTACGTGACAGCACCCCCGGCTTTCATGATATCTTAGGTTGCTGGTTGCTTACCTCGATCTGGCATAGATTGCTGCCTTGTGGTGGGCATATTCTCTAGGTATCTATAAGACCATGCGTCAGTCTCACGCTCAGATACACACAGCTTTTTCACTGCGCTACACGGGGGGTTCGTGATACGCGTCAAGTATGTTCGCCGTCTCTGATGGAGTTCTCGCAAGTTGATAACAGTCTGGGGGGCAGCTATGCATGCATGTACCATTTGAGACTCAGCCCTCACGTGGGGTCGGCGATATCGGAGCTTTGGTGAGTTTAGAACATTCACCACACTTGTGCCGCGCTCACGCATATGCAGGGAGTTTTGGGTGTGTGTCCGCCTTAAATATTTGAGCCGGGAACTGACTTTCCCTGGCTGCAGCTTATTGGATTAACAGCAGTGCGCACCCATATCCGTCTTGAATTCGTCAATCACCGCTGACGGTGGTTCTCAGTGTATAACCCTCTTAGTATCGCATTTGTGAGTCCGTTGGCATCCGCTCTTTCCAGGCCGCATACGATTTGGCCGTAGGTTCTTCGCTAGGCGAGTCTACAAACGTAAGCTGCTCTGCTCGGTTACACTGGTACGGGCAACGTTACCTAGACTGCTGTACAGTTGAATATCGCCCCCTGCTATTTGTCATTATCGTGGTAAGCAATCTTCGTCTGTTCTAGGAGTGCACGAGACTGAGCGGCTTAAGGGTGCCATGCTTCTCGGAGGATTGGGTAAGTAATGTGGCCTCATGAAATCCTTTTTCTCTGATCGCACCCCCGTACGCGCAGTCTTCACAATCTGTAAGCCAAGTGTACGGAGATTTGGTGGCCCTTTACTAATATTGTCCTCTAGTATCAACTCTCTACGCGTACGTCGACCCGAGGCTCTTGCCATCGCTTGTCATTTACGTGCCGCATTGACACTCTCTAAGGGCAACTCAAGGAACTTCGTGGAATATGCGTACAGAGGTCCGTATTCGCCTGCCATGGCCGTACACAACCTCAGATGTCTCTCGCTGTCTTAGATAAACCTGCTTGTGGTCTTGGGAATATCGTTTATGCTCGACATTTTCATAACAATACGACTTGTGGTTTATTTGCGGAGTAGTCGCACCGGGTTCAAGAAGTTAGTAATCTGGACTATTATGCCGCACTTAGGATCATGCAACTAATTCATACCACTGCAGCACCGACAACATCATAAACAAGCTCGTCTCATTCTCCGTCAACACAGGTGTGCCATCGGGAACACCTTTGCACAACATCACCACCACGCATGGCTTACCCTTAGCCTTTCTCGTACAGGGCTTCTCACTGGGTAAGTGTCTTCGCTCGGAATACAAGCAGAATCTTGATACAGTATATCTAGGATTCTCACCCTTATTCCAATCATCCTTGTGGGTAGACCCATCGACCTGTTGTGATTGCCTTGCTTATGCTCAGCGTCCAACTTGCACTCAAAGATGGCCGCCGCCGTTGGGAACGATTGGGCCTGGTATCCCGTATTGACTACACTAGCGCCTGGTATGTTCGTTCCGAGTGTTTTGCCGGGGCATCCCCTGATCACTCAACCAGTTCACACAAGTGTTGTGCTAGCTGCGTGCGTCAGCTATCCATCAGTCATCTGTTCAGTCTGTTTACGTGTATAGAATGCAGGGTCAATTCGCGTCGGTCGCTCGTGGATCGAGGTTCCGAAGGTATCGAGCTGCGAAGCTTCGACCTCGATGTTTCACCAAGGCCCCAGCTGAATTCCACTATACAATGGATGGAAGTGGTAAGATTAATTTGAGAACTTTGATTCAGCGATGTTTTACAGCCACTTTATGATACGTTCACTTCAATCAATGTACCAGAGGGCAGTGGAGCACAGTTGCGACTGTCACTTGAGCCCGAACATCCCCCATGTCAGGTGCGGAGCCTCTGCCATTTATAGCACTGCTCGGTCTGTAGTCATGCTGAGCATCATTGACAGCAAACACACAAGGGCGAATGAGCCTTTTCATCTTGTTCTCTGCTGAACCTCTGCGGTGCTCTTGGTAGATAGATAGAGTCTAGGCGCCGTGTAGAAGATGCCAGTGCAACATGTTTGTAATCCAACATCGCCGAGGTTTGGATATCCTGGTATAAGTAATGACAGAGGCTACATACTATGACGTTAGATCATAGGAAAAATGCAAGATAGATGGAGTCAGATAGCAGCTGCGGATTCCGACGCGCATCGACGCAGCAGGTCACCAACTTAGCTTGAGCGCTTGATCAGCGGCAATGGGAGGTGGAAGCGCCTATCTCAATTCGATTCCGAGCCACTGGCAGTGGCGGGAAGACATGGTTACGGTCCCACAGGAGGGCTTGCCGCTTGTGTCATCATATCACCTCAAGCTGCCCTGTCAATCTGCCAGATGTACAGCCTTCCTCACGCATCCACCCGGAGGGGTCTGTGTGCTCTGTCTACCTAGTAGTACCTCCCTACTACCACGTTGAAGACCTCCCTCCGCAACGGACAGGATCAATGGATCCCTTACACCGAAGAAGCATAGAGGAACCGTCTAACCACCTGGTGCTATCTCTGATAGCCATTGGAGCTTGGTGCGTACTGCTGTGAGTCTTCCCGACCTCTACACTCAGTGCCATGGTCGGCTGAAAACACGGCCAGATTGGACGGTCATGGCGCTCAAGGGGCGTACATCTACTTCCGTCGCTATCCGAAGGATGGCTATGTCATGAAGATGCTGGTAAACGCTGACACCTCACGATATTCAGACGACCCGTTGACTTGCATATACTGGATATCTAGATTGGTGCCTTATGGTGCGCTGTTGTTCTCGATCTTCCCTTGCACTTCTTACTACGATTGTGGACTCAGTATCGTCAATGGGCTACACACATTTGCGGTTTTATACATCAAGTGCGAATGCTTCTGCGCTGAGATCATACTGTCGCTGACGTGCATGCCGCGACAAGCTACGCTACCCTTGTGCAGAATAGGTCTAGCGCTGATGTGGGGGCCGAGCTTCTGCAATCCTGGTGAGCTCGAATGTTCCGGTCTTGTGGTTCTGCTTTACAGGCGTTTGATTGGACATGTAGGGAATGTTGAGTGGGTGTCTCAGACAAAACCAGTGTTGGAAGTGAAATGTATTCACGCACCTCTTACAGATGGTCGCAGACACTGCCGTGAGCGCAAGCCACATACCTGTTTGCTAGTAATGACGACGGTAAACTTTCCTAGTGCCTTACTTTATTGGTCTCCCACTTGTAAGTGTCAGCATATCTACTTGTGCGGGTACATGCCCAATTGTGTACTAGGTTCTTTGCTAGGCGCGTGTACAAGTGTAAGCTATCTCTTTGGATATGATCATAGCTAGCCATGACCTTGAGATGTTGTGCAGTAGGATATCGTCCATGGCATTTCGTCCTCTTCGTGGTAAGTCCATGTCAAATTGAAGTCAGCAGCGTGACTTACATTGAGTAGGGAACCATGCTCGCCTTGGGGTTAGGTGAACATGTTTGTCTTTAGAATTTCTCAGTGGGTGCTCACGAGTCCTTGCTCTCCCAGCCTTCACAGTTGGTATGTAGACTAATCTTTCTTAATGTCATCTCTGTTCCTAGAGGTTCTGACAAGCTATAGTTTGCACTGCCTTTGCGTAAAGTACTTGTCGAGTATCCATTTCCATGAGTGTTGATGCGGGGTCAGGTTTATCTGGGGAACGGAGGCAAATAGAACAAGCGTAGTCAGAGCTCCCAATCATACCCCCAGTGACCATGCTGATGGATTTCTCAGAACAGCCTGATATCGTTTTTGGGCCTGTCGTTCCTGCTCAACATCGTTCTCACATGGCGACTGGTGTGGTATTTGCGAATCAACCACACTGGAGTCAAGAGGTGGGTGTAACGGACCAGACTCAGTTCGCATTAGTGTTGACAACGGCCCATGCATCGGTCTCAGTACGGACAACCTGATCAACAGGATCGTCTCATTCTCGGTGAACACCGGTATGTCATCTCTGTTTAGCTATGAATGTCTGTTATTGTCCGATTACATTGTTTCGACGTTCTTCTGTAGGTATCCTGACCGGGTAAGCGTATCCCATCTGGGAGATAACGCCATTCTGATCCTGAGAGTAGGATCCTGACACTTGCTCCGATGATACTAGTAGGTCGATCTCACCTCGTTCGTACTACATAAATACAGGAAACATTTTAGCTCGCATTACCGATGCGAAATGGGTTGGCGTGGTACCCAGTAATGACTCTTCTAGCCCCTGGTAGGTCCGGTTTTGCCTGCCCGTGAAGCTCGCCGCTGAGTCCTAGCTAGTGCACACCAGCATCGTCTTGGTCGCGTACGTTCAGCGCAAACAGTGTGTACCTCAGCACTCATTGATCTCCGCTGCAGGGTGAATTCCCGTCGGTCGCTTGTGGACCGTGGCTCCGAGGGCATCGAGCTGCGAAGCTTCGACCTCGACGTCGCCCCTCGCAGGCCGGAGCTCAATTCGACGATCGAGTTTGCGGAGATGGTGCGCCGCGCTCCTACCGATAGAAGCCAGTCCACACTGACGGGTGTGTCATAGGGTGGAGGGACGTCGACCACTATAGAGTTCAGGGATGCACCTGTGATACGTGTAGACCTCGAGGAACAACCTCCGCACGAGGTATGGTGTCAAGAATTTTGTATTGGGTCGTGCTGAACAGCGGAGACAGGGCTCGCCAAAGGACAGGAGGGGTGATTAATGACGGAGAGCCGCTGATAGGACAAGCCCGCTAGCGGAGCCCCGGCGTCCTGATATCAACGGAGTCGGAGACGAGTTGGGAAGGCCAGATGTAATTCCTCGTGGTTGCTGTTTCATAATCTGCCTTGGTAGCAAAGGTCAACTTGAAATCCAGGTTCCATTGCGCGACATGTCGGCGGCGACCCGGAAAAGACATACGGGAGCGATGCCGTTCTTACGGGGGGAGGCGGAAGGGTCAAATCACTGGCCAGCCAATGGTCACGGCCCAAGCTCACCCTGGCGCCCCTTACGAGCAGCAAGGACAGAAGCAGGTGATTTATACGGCAGGCATTCCAAGTTTGACTACCCGAGAGAAATACATGAAACGGAGAGGCACGGGGTGAGCCATTTCGTTAGAACGTGGCTGTTCTGAATAACAGCCTTTGAAAATCCGGGTAAATCTGGGGGCGGTGGCCTCCTGCCTCCTGCCTCCTTTCGTCGACTCGTCTAGAGTCGGATACGTTGGAATTTCCGCCGTTTCGCGAGGGTGAGTTGCCGATAGGACGAGCCTGCTAGGGAAACCTCGGCGTCCTAATATTCACCGGAGTCGGATACGAATCCGGAAGGCCATCCCTCGTAGTTGCTGTCTCATAATCCGTCTTGGCACGAAAGGTCAGATCATGTTCCACTGCGCAACATTTCTGCAGCGACCTAGACAAGGCATACGGGAGCGATTCTGAGGGGGGGAGGAGGTGGAAGCGTCGGACCACCGCTGGGCAGTGGTTACGGCCCAAGCTCACCTTAGCGCCCCTTACGCGAGCTACCACGTATGCGCCGGATCCGATGGTCGGCTACAGGGAAACTAGGACAGAGATGAGCGGTGCAACGGAGTGAGTAGGGCAAGCGCGCCTGGGCGCAGCGATCTAGAGGAAGGCAGTCCCAGCAGGGACCTCCTCCAAAACGGTGTGTACAGAGCGCCCTTGTCTTGCCTCTTTCGGGCGCAGCGTTCCAGACCTACGGCAAGCATCAGTCATACGGACGGGGGCAGCGGGGCAGTGTTCCAGACTTGGCGTAGACGACTCACGTCCTAAGCGGCGAGGATGCTGCGGCAGACTCGACCCTAAGGGAGCCGACGGGAACGCTCCATCCATTAGGTCAACTTGAGCGGGAAGAAACTGAGACATTGCTTAGCGGATGGCATCGCATCGATCATGAAGTTCCCCAAACGGTGTACTCAGGACCTTCTACCTCTAGACTCCGAAACAGGTACGCCCGACATGAGGATTAGCTGGACGGATATGGAGCGGTGGTCGGGTGGAGCTGATGGTGGCATTCGTAGAAAATTTTCAGGTGTATCTTTCTCGTTGAGTGAGAGACGACGTGCCGCCTGTCTACGCGCCGGGGGGTGAAGGCCGCGTTCAGGCTGCCACTGGCCAGTGTCGCAGCCTCCGCACCGGTATCGTCCTGATTGCTCGCTGGACATTGTAGCTAGCTGGTTTCTGTATCCATATATCGAGTGTGAGTGACTGAAACGATCTCGAGCGCAGGGTGGGGCCTAGCGTGCGGAGTACGGCAGATCAGAGTCAACCGTGAGTTTGGTAGCGCACTTGCCTATTTGGAACGACGCACAAAGCATGGGCCCGGGCGGTGTTGTGCCGACACGCGGCGCAGCTAATAATGTGGGCTCGGATGGCGGCGAGCGTATGTAGGGCACATCCTTTGCAAGCTGTTGCTCTGGCGTGTCCAGCAGACTTGAGCGTCGTGCTAGGGAATGAGGATGTTGCAGCGTATGGCAGCGACGAGGAGGCGCATGGGCGGCAGGGCGATGCCGAGGCGGAGAGCAGGACCCCGGATTGCCAGCGGGCGCTTGGGGTGGAGGTACAAACAGAGGCCAAATACAGGGAGGGGAGTACGCCCACACTTCCACATACGACAAAATAAGATAAGTTCAACTCGCTGTCCGAGGATGAGGACGCGCATAAAACCGCGCTCTCGTCTCCCATCCACACCCCCGTCGTAGCCGTCTCCGCCCTCCTCTCATCCTTCTCCGCCCTCCAGGCCCCGCCCGACACGCCTCCCATCAGCTCAAACGACTCTACTACCGCCACCTGTCCTGGTTCTCGAGCTGCCCTATCATCATGCCCCGAGCACCAACTCATCGTGAAACCGAACGCGACAGTCAACAGGAGAAGATCCCCCGTCCCCCAAACGCGTGGATCCTTTACCGTACGGACCTCCTCAACCAATGGAAGGCGAACCGATCGCCCCACGAGCCGCCCTCCAGGCAGTCCGACATCTCTCGCCTGGTTTCCGCGAGGTGGAAGGCGGAGGACAGCGCCATCAAGCTCGAGTACGAGAAGCGCGCCGCCATTGCAAAAGCGGAGCACAAGAAACGTTATCCAGACTACAAGTACACCCCAGTTCCGAAGGAGGTGAAGGAGAAGTTGCGCGCAGAAGAGCGAGAAAGGAAGAAGAGGGCGCGCGAGGAAGCCAAGGCTGCGAAAGCCGCTCGACGAGCTTCGGGACCGGGTCATTACCGTAAGCCCTCCTATCCGTCTCCACCGTCCGGTTCGAACGTCAGGCTCGACAACATGGCGCCTCCGCCTCTGCCTCGGCGTATCCGGACCAAGAGGGGGACGCTCCCCGCCCGTCGCTTCGTAGTTGACCCAACCCAGCGGGGCTGCGGCCCGTCGCCCCCGATCGACTACAACCCAGAGTCGCCCTCGAGTTCGAGCACTTTGAGCAGCACCACAGAGGACATGTCCAGCTCGCCCTCCCCTTCACTTCCTTCGTCTTCACAACTCGCCCCAACCTCTAGCGACGCATCGAACGCGTGGCAGCCGAACGTCCCGTCCCCCTTCTCATCTTCCCCCAACCAACAACCTCCTCCTGCATATCCATCCAGCTACGTGCATTCCCCAATGCCTTCTAGGCACACGTCGTTCAACCTACTCTCTTCTTCGTCGTCGACCCCCAGCGAGTCTCCCCCTTCTTACTCCGAGGGAGAAGCTTGGCATGCCGGCCCCCCGGACTCGGCGTACCAGTCGTACGCGCCCCTTCCCGACTTCCAGAGTGAATGGAACACGCCGCTTCAAACTCCCTCACTGCTCCAGGTTAGTCCGCACGCGATATTGATTGTGCACATTGAATCTAACGTGTTCTCCTCAGCCGGACGTGACCTTCCCCCTCCCGCCCTTCGATCCCCTTTCTGCGCTTTCCGGGAACGACCAATTCAGTGTCGACGCAGCGACTGCCAACGCCGTCTTCGATCTCTCAGCCCCTCACACAGGCTCTGCGAACTCTCCGCCCGGAGAATTCGAGCTGGATGCCGATACATTTACGCAGCAACTCGCGTTTTTGGACGGGCAAGCGGCGCTACGCCCTTCCGGAGATCAGCTTATGGTCCTGTTGGACATGCCCGAGTTCCACAACACGGTGGAGGATCGCGCGGACGAGGCCGGCCTCCCCGAGCCAGGCGTATCCGACCCTTCTACTCTCGAGAGTTTCGCCGCGTTCGTCAATGCGCACCCGCAGGACGCGTTGACGCTTGCCGATCCGAACTTCTACAACAACCTCGGGATGCAGATCCTCCAGCAGTTCCCCTCGCTCGTTCACCAATTCCCTGGCCTCGCGAACTCGTTCATGCCCCAGGGTGCGGCGTCTCCGCCGCAGTACGTGGCTGATCCCAACGTGCCCGTCCCTACCGATTTCGCGGCTGTTCAACCGCAGCAGGTCCAGGGGCAGGCCTTCGACTCGACAATGTACGAGATGTTCATGCAACAGCCGGAGCTCGCTATGCCTACGCCCGTCCATCCCATCAACGTCTCCAACGTCTCGGTACCCCCGACCCCAGTCCAATCGGAGCCGAGCCACTCGCTAGCTGGCACGCCTTACCTTGATTCCACTCCTGTTGAGAGCGCCCCCGCGCCTGCACCTGCGCGCGCTCGGTACGTGCCCCCAGTCGGTGCTGCCTTCGTCGGGAGGAGGCGCGTCGGGGGGAGACACCCTATGGCTCGGAAGGCGGACCACAGTGACTCTGACTAGGCCCATGTCGTTGCTCGTCGAGCGCGGCGCCGGTCGTCGCGTCGCATACGCGTCTCTAATGAAATGTGAGCAGAGCTCTTCGTATGCCTCATTGTTTGACTTGAGCTGACGGATATTCGTGTACCAGAATGTTCCTTCCATCTGTATACGTTTCCTATTCGTCCTCGCTCTCCTGGTCCAATCTCTATCTGTACACCATCGCTCTCGAGGTCCGGTTGCTCACCTGCTTTCTTCTCTCTTCAGTCCTCTATCACTTCCCTCGTACCCTTTCTCTCTCCGTCGCCTTCTTGCCGCTCTTCATTCCTCTGTACATGTTCTGCTCTCGTCGTTGCTGGGCTTTCTTCGCATCCGGATCTCCGCCTCGCTATCTATGATCAGGCTCGTCACATCTATCGCACCACGCATATCGCAACATCCGTCACGACATCGTCATGCCCCCGTACACGACCCTGACACCCTGCATTTACATTATTGGCTCAGCGCTATCTGATTGTCATCGACTACCTCTGTTTCGTTCTCGCATCTACTACTTCTGTTCGTTCTCGCGTCGTATATATTGCTATCTCTCGCTCCTCTGTTTCTCTTGCTGATCATCACTTATCTACCTACCTACCTACCTCCCTCCCCCACCCACCACCCCTTTCCCGGATTTCGTGTCTTCCCGTCCTCCTCCCGCGTCTCGATTCTCGCGTTCCATCTGCTAATCTCGTTGCCCCTACAACCTATGCCTCCCTTTTCTTCGCCCCCTGCCCATTCCCCCCGCTTGTGAACCTTGCTACCTGGTAGCATCGTCCTGTCCATCGAATTCTTTGCGTGTATCGCACAAGTAGCATATAGTGTACTCTAGTAGGACGTAGCTACGCCCGTCGGCGACAACAATACACAAGAGGGTGGCAGCTGATGTGGCTGCCACAGACATTGACCTCACCCCCAATCCGTGCGCCGGCTTCAAGCCTGTCCTGACCATCGACGGCGGCGAGGTATCTCTTCGTGGTGGCCCCACATACGGATGCGGCACTCCCCGTACGCCACAAAGCAAGCCGATGGGTTTCCGGGGTCCCCGCTCACGACGCGATCAGCGATCGCGAACGCACTGCACGCAGGTTCTGAGGCGCGTCTCACGTGCCCCACGTGGACCGTGTCAACTCCGCCCAGCCCATTGTGCCCCCAATGCGGACGGGCGCCTGTCTATTGTGCCCCATCCCGGGCACAAGGCGTGTGTGCGCCGGCCCCGGGCGACTGGGAGCATCGCAGGGGAGATGGTGACTCGTACGTACGCGCGATGGATACGAGGGGTCTCGTGGCCGGTTCTCTTTTGTCCGCGAGAGGCCGAGACGCGACGTGAGGCTTCCTTGGCGCGTAGGTGCTCAGGGCCGTCAGTGGGCTGGGTGTATATCGCGCTGAGAAGCGGCGATGGGGAGGGTACGGGGGTAGAGGTGCTTAATGGGTGCGTCCTCATTGGCGTGGTTTGGGATGGCGCGCAAGTCGCGAGATCGGAGAGGAAGGCGTGGCTTTTTGAGGAGCAGGGCGCACACGGACGATCGAGGGCTCGCGCCCTCCCCCCCAGTGCAGCAATTGCTCGCATCGGGCGGGGCGGAGTTTGTCGTACTCGGGTTGCGCGTGCGCGAGCTGTGCTGTGTATCTAGCGAGCGCCCCCTTCCATTTTGCAGCTCTATTTTGGTCGGGGATGCCCGATTGTGGAGGACACCCGATGGCGTAGGCGGAAAACAGAACCGGGCTGACCACAGAACGATTTCGAGGTTTGTTGGGCGAGGAAGGCGGTACTCGACCGCTCGCCGCCCTCGGCGGACTGAGCCATCTACAAGCAGGACTGCCGAGACAAAGGACACTAGCTGCGGAAGGAAGAACACTGCGGGGCGATGCAGAGCACCGTGTCTCCAAGTCTGGCACAAGATGGACACGGATTAGAAGGCGAGTCCTGGCCCTAGAACGATGGCCTGATAGACGAGGTGACAAATCGATTTTGCACTAACATTTTTACCCGACACGATAACCGCGAACAGTCAAGAGGTAGAACCCGCGTACCTCGCCTCGACGGAAATTGCCTCTCGCTTCTCGCAGTAGTGGAGCGAACGGCGTCTTGAATGGAGACCGCGATCCTACCCCTGATTTGGATTGCAACGATCGACGCGCACACATGGACGGATCCGGGGGTGTACCCGGGAGGCGCAGCCAGATGACTCCTTCCTCACCGTTTGCGGCAAGGTGGACACCCCCTCGGAAAGTGCCCCAGATGCCCATGCCATTGCCAGCCCAGCGAAGCTTTCCGAAAGCCACGTAGTGCAGGTGGACGAACATCATGAATAGATATGCTACAGCACACGGCCACCCGTGGCCAACTCCACGACCAATCGTACGCAGTAAATATACAGTATATACAACCTACATAGGTAAGCTCCCCACAGTCAGATGAAGAGGCAGAGCCGCAACCACGTCATCGTCCCCACCGCAGAGCGCTCAGACGGCCTGTCCAAACGAGACATCCGGACTCGCGCGCATCTCCCGCAGCTCGACGTGCCACCAATCCAGGTCCACCTCCCCCGAGACGTACACTGTCCGTGTGTTCCCCTGCGAGACCTCCACCCGCGTGCTCTCGCGCGGGTACTCGTGCGCATGCCGCGGCGCGGCCGGCGGGCGGAGCGTCTCTGCAGACGTCGCCGTCGACAGAGACACAGGCGTCGGCGCAAGGGTCCGCCCGTTCGCTGCCTCGCGCTGGCGTCCGAGCGCCACGCGCCCGCTGCCTAGAGGACTCACGCTCGGCACGCGCTCGCTGCCCAGGGGACTCGCGCTCGGCGCGCACAGGGTGCTCGTGGGCGTGACGGTCGCCTCGCGCAGCGTCGTCTCGGACAGCGACGTGAACGCGGAGATGGCGGAGGACTCTGCGAGGGGCGACACGGGCACGTGCAGCGGGAGGTCGATCGCGACGGGGGTGTTCGCGCCTGTCGCCGGGAGGTCGCGGATGTTGAAGAGAATGGGGTCGCCGACGCCGGAGTAGTACGCGCGCCGGATGTTGAGGAGGAGGCGGGTGCAGTTCGTGATGCTGAGCGAGAGCGCGAACGCGACTGGGGCTTGGTAGGTCCCGATATCCTGTATACGGTACGCGTGAAGGGATGAGAACTTGGTGCGGATGCACAGCAATGTGAAGGTAGGAGAAGCGTACGCTGGAGGTCATCCATATGAGTGCGCATGCCAAGTACGAAGCAAAGATGCTGCCGATGTGACGTGCGGTGTGAGCTTTTCTATCCATCAGTAGAATCAGGTGCCTTACGCGAGGAAGTTCAATAGCGAGTGCCTGTAGATCATGTCTAGCAGGCCGTCGTACGTATATGCCCACCGCCAGCCACGCGTCGACGTCATCCCTGCACATCCTCGATACACGAACAAGAGGAGCAGCAGGGAGTCGTATGCGAGGATGGGCACCCACAAGAGTGGGAATGGCGATTCTACATGTAGAAAACAGAAGTCGACATTGGGGTTTGCATGAAAGGCTCTGGCTAGTGGAGTCTCATGTATTAGAATCCCCCTTATTCAGCAACAAGCTTGGAATTTGATCACACCTTCAAAGTGCTCGAATGATATCGTCAGGATCGACACGACACTGGTAATTTCTGCGATGTAGCAGATGCCCGTTAGGGCTAATATCCACTTGTTTTTATTGTAGACCACGTAGATCCACAACAGGAGCACGGCTATCCAGGAGTTCGAGGGTTGTCGTCAGTTCCCAGAGCTCGTTGCGAGTATCTTACCTTCAGAGGTGAAAAGTATACCGCAGTATCCCCATGTTTCCCAGTAAAACCAGAACGTGCAGCTACCGGCGACTAGACCGTTGAGCGAGCTAGCGAACATGGCGGATGTTCTCTTCACTTACAACTAATTCAGAGTCAGAGCACATTACGGGCTTGCAAATCCAAGAGGCACTCACTTCGTCGTTGATAATGGGCGAGTTGAATGCTAGAGTGCCGGCGTCCGTCCATTCAGCGCCACCGCTCGCACGTCAGAATGCGAAAAGTCTGACCGTAAACTTGGAAGCTATCAGAGGTCCACAGGGGTATCGCGGCGCAGTCAGGACGAATGTTCGCTCTAATGTGCGGCTGGGAAGCCTCGACCAATGAACGAACTCACAGGACGCATGCCACCCCAAAATATCGATGCTGCCATCAAGAAAATGATATGGGTGCTTGAGCGGGGATGGGGGCAGACGGGCCGTACCCACAAAAAGGCCAGTTTGATCACCGACCACCGCTTCTTCTGCGATGCGGTCTCAGCAACACTCTACGCCCCACTTGGACAGGAGCATATGTGCACTCACCCATATCAGCTCTATCTCCCGCTCCATACATACGACTGTGGGTACACGGCGTTAGCGCATCGTTCGCCTCTGTACAGTTAGCAGTGCGTACTATAATCATAAATGACGATCGTCGCGGTTACGACTGGGAACTAGACGTCAGTGTATGGGAAGGGATTGGCTGTATACTTAGAGCACTCACATGACACCAACTGTGTTGCACGGACATTTCGCACGGACGTAACAAGCTCATGGAGCTCATGGAGGGCTTCTGCGAGCTGGCTGGGCTGATCGGCCATGGTCGCACACCAGTATAAGTTCGGAAACACAGGGAGGGAGCGACTGAGCCAGGAAGGCGAAGGGGGACAAAGCAAGTGGGACTGCGGGGAGGCGGGTAGCACGCGCAAGCCGGCCTATTAAGGGGACGACACAGAAGGGAAGCCGAGAAGCACCGGGGGCAGGGAGGCCTCTTCTCCACTACAGAATTCAATATGTGCGACGTTTGCTGCCGTAAACGCGTCGTTCCATGCCGAAGTCGGAGGGGGGGAGAGGCAGGAGGGTGTGCGGAATAGGGTGCGTCGACGCGACAGGGCTCGCGACCTTGTACGTGTATCCGCGTTTTCATGGCGCCGTCGCCAGCTCCCCGCTTTACATGGCGCAGCGTCGTTGCCTGGGTTAGCCATCTGGAAGTGCTGGAAGAACGTGCCGGAGTGCAGCGCGGCAATAGGGCCATCACCTTGAGAACGCAGTTAGAGTTTGCGGCCGATTGCGAGGGCGTAGACAGCGACAGGAGGTCACGCAGGGGGCGGTGGGTTCCCAGCGACAAAGGCCTCGTTCACGTCAGCTCGGCGTTTCCACGATGGTGCCGACGCTGTGGCTGGCCAGGACATCTTTTGCGTCATGACTCTAGAGTGCTAGCAGGGAATGATGCTTGTCGTAAGCTCAGGCATAAGTAGGCGGCGGGGAAGTGACGTGGGACGGCCCCATGCGGCGTTACGAAACTGCCATGCCCCCAGCCAGGCGGATCCTGTCAGGTATAGCGAGGACGGTAGTGCGGTCGGACATAACCAGGACGAGAGGACGCACGCCGCGGACGTGTTGCACATGCTTCAGACATGTTGTCCGCACTCGAGTGCATGTGGAGATGTCAAAGAAACGCTGCACATCAAGGATTGGGCCATAGGACCCGGGTCTCTGTTTGCAACAAGCCGGGAGGCGGGCTCACGGAAACGCCACTACTATGGAGTCTGTCGTCGAATGTACGACGCACGAGACAGCAGAATCGACGGGCGGCTAAGACAAAGGGGGAGCGGCAAGAAAGGCATCTGTGGCGTTGCGGAGCCCAAAAGATCAGATGTCGAGGAGCGCCGGGATATTCCGCAAGCGGGGAGAAGCACACTGGCATCCCACCAACATGCACTCGAGCTTGAAGTACATACCGACGACGCAGTGATCCTGAACATAGCGAGCCACGAGCCGTACGATTATCGACGTCACCTAGTAGTTGTTCAGGAGCGCTATGAAGAAGCAGATGGCGGAAAGACCGCGGGCTTGCAATGTTTCAAACACAGATAGAAGAAAAACCTCGGTGAATTTGTATATATGCGCTCAAAACTTGCATTTTACGGCAGCCTTGCCAGGGAGCAAGCGTCAGCAAGCTTGAGCACGGGGATAGTGAACCATGTACAGTCGAACAGGACAAAGACGAGCCATGAACGAGTCCTTGCCCTTGAGACCCTACTTATGCCACTACGCGAGTAGGAGTCCATCACGATGCCGCGCCGCGACAGAATACCATGGAGGCAGGAATTTCCTTTCTCCTCCTAATATGGCCTCGATGGCAACACACTCCCTCCAGTTTTGGGATACGTTGGAGTCGCCATTACATATCCAGATCCCGAGTAACCTTCACTCTCTGGGAAGCTGTAGCTTAAATAGGCTGTATCATGCATCTGGATCCTCCCCGATCGGGCTCACATAGTGCATGCCTAAACTCGGTAGGTCTGCCTGACCTATCGTACAGACACAGCGAAGAAGGCGTTTTCGCATGTATTATATAGACCATCAAGCAGAAGTTGTACCGCTTCGTCGAAGCGAGGTCGTAGTTTAGTCGGTTTCGACGGTCCATTGACATAGCCATGGCGTGTTGGGGCTGTTTCGAAGAAAGTTATGCCGCAAGCACCCGTCTGCCACTCAGGTATCGGCACTGTGGAGGCGCTGCAGACAGGTCGCGGGGGAAGCCGGTTGAAAAGAATCTCCAAGCCGAATCATGATTGTCTTCAATAGTACATCCAATCCATTTCCTGTGGTCGTAACATTGAAATTTGAGGCTAGAATTCGGCCTCGGACGCGATGTCGATGTCCGGTACGCCTTAGCGTGTAAAGCACAAGGACGAGACGAAAGTCTCTACGGAAACCGCCATCCCTTGTAAAGGTGACAACAAGTACGATGGTGTGGGCAATAAAGAGGTGGGGGAATAGGGTGGGGAGGGGTATAGCGATATGATGGGTACTCACGCCAGCCCGTTGAGCTGGTTGACCGCGTCGAGGCCATGCCCGGTGTTCACCCAGTCGAGCAGGACGAAATTAGGCGCGCGGCCCGCAGCGAAGCCCTGGCAGCCGGCAGCGTTGGCCAAGATCCTGCACCGTCGAGAGCCGTATCAGCATCCACCACAAGAACAGGAACAAAAAAGAAGACGGCACGCACGAGCTGACGCTGTTCGTCTTGGACGCGTCGAGGGGGTCCGAGATGATGATGCCCGTGTCGAACAGGTTCTTGTTAAGCGAGTGGTTGATCATGTACAGGTGGTCCTCGGTCGCGAGCGGGCCGCTGATGCGGTCGACGCTGCACGGGAACGACGCGTTAGTGACCGAGAACGGCGTCTCCCAGACCATGGGGAACTCGGGGAGGATGTACGGCACGGAGCGGTCCGTGTCCGCGCCCTTGTCGAGGAAGACGATGACGCGCTTGCCGCTGTCGATGAGTTCGCCGAGCGTCGGCCACTGAAGAGGTGCGAGGGAACTCAATATGGTTATTATGCTGGCTCAGTTAGAGGCGGGATACGTACGTCGCTCTGCTTGACGGGGATGCTGGGAGGGACGTAGGCCAGGTCTGCGATCCCCGACGCTTGGAACGGTGGGTCCCAGAGCTCGGTGAGGCTCGCGTTCTCGGGGTTCGTGAAGATGAAGGTGAGGACCTCGTTAGGGTTCGCCGTCAGGAAGTCGTGAACCTTTGTGAGGTAGTCCTCAACAGATCCGCCATCGAACAGCAGCTGGGATATTATGTTCGCTGGGCGGAGAAGACAACGGCGAGTCGAAATGTAGACTCACGCAGCTCGTGTGGCAGAAGTGGAGGACGCCGTCGTTGCTGTAACGGATCGTTCAATAGGAATGCTCCTGAAGTGTTGTAAGAGTACGAACACATGCGCTTGCGCTTGAAGCAGGCGAACGCCAAGGCCCAGCTGGGTAGGGATGTCAACCCGCTGGTCGGCAGAAACTGCATGCCAACACCGTCAACTGACGATCCGAAGAACCGACTGACGCCAGCCACTCACGAGCCAGGGGATCGTCGCTGAACGCGAACGAATCGTGTGCTGGATGGAGATATCAGCTCTGCTCGAAGACAAGTACGATGCAAAAGGGGGCCCGATTCTCAAAGTCACCCGCCACTGGACGGGTCGAGAGTCCCGCATTTAGCATGCGAGCGACGTCGGGTCTCGTGTTCCCTACGGGTCTACCGCTCTCACCAAGATAGCGAACAGTTTGACTTTCGAGCACGTCGAAGACGAGAGCCATTCATGTCGATGATCACCAACGTCGAGGGACTTCGTGCAGCAGAAGTCTCAGCTTCGCCACAGAGCTTTCTTTTGGATAGTGGCCTCTAGAATTGAGAACGCCTATTGCATGTTGTCACTCACCTCCAAGGAACGTCACGTTGCCATAGCTTCGATTGCAAAGTTCTGCATGACCGTTGCAGACGTCCGCTCTGCCGCAAAACAGGTCAGCAACCGCGTAGAATGCAAGTACACAGTCGTTGGGCCGGGTCCCGTTGCGCTCGCAACGGTGAGCAAGGCTACCGGTACGACGTCGGGGCGCGGTCCGGGTAAATGGACGTGAGAACCGTAACATGGTGCGCACCTTCTCTGGGGGACTATGGCTCCCTTAACTGAAGCGATAGCGGCGGCTACGCTCAGGAAGATTGACGCTGCTCGCATGTCGTGATAGGTGAGCGTACGGCGGGAGGGACGTGCGTAAGGAAAGCAGGCGTGGCTTCGGGACCGGGTTTAAAAAGGGCTGAGGTCAGGACGAGAAGCACCGAAGGTCACTGTGTACCTGAGGGAACGACGCATGTGGGCTGACGCTTCGATGCCATGGCATCTGATTGCCATGCTGGTCTGCACATCGCGTCAAGCCAAGCTCACGAGCTTTACGGTGATGCGCGTGCACAGCTTCTCAGCGGATCGACGCAGGCGGACGACTTGTTGGCGGATGGCGAGAGGCGATCTGATGAGCGTCGCTCGGTAAACACGTGGCCATGTGATATGGCCAAGCGTTGTACGTCGCATCATACACTGGACGTGGGGAGGGTTTTGGACCGCATCTGCAATGAAGTCAATGACGAAAGGCCGTTCAAGAAGGAAATGTCAACTTCCCTCGGTTGCGGAGCTTGCAATCCACGAACAACAGGAGGTGGTTTGGACGCAGTGAGGCTGAAGTTGCCATCGGCAAGCGGACACCGGTGGTGCCTCAGTCTCTAGCTATTCTCTTGCGATGATCAATACAGTATCAGGAAGAGATGGAGCGCGGAAAGAAATGGCCGCACGAAAGCTGTTCTGTAACAGTACATCAACGTATCTTGGAAGATAAGTAATCCAGGGACATACGCGGTGGAAGGGATTCTCTGATCTCCTGGCATTAGGGGGAAACACGACAAGTGTCGGGAGCATACTGTCTTCCTGCCACTTCTCGCTCTCCATGCGTGTCATGTAGAATCATGATGTGGAGGTTTGCTTGCAATGAGGCAGAACCTCGCCTTCGTGCGGAGGTCGTTTCGACTGGCTTGTGTGCTCCTCAGGCAGCTCCGCTAAGATTTTCACGTCCCGGTAGAGCCCTTCGCGTTCTGTGAGCAATGTTCAGCAGCGCTGTTTGGCACGGTGAGAGAACGCCAACTTCAAAGTGATACCGAATCGCTGCCTCGAATCGCTGCGGAATTGCCTTGGAATAAATGAAACGCTACTGCGTTTTCCGCACTATGAGACAAGTGGCTGTGGGAAACCGGGGCGGACAACCCAGAACGTTGGGCTTCGTCATGATACGCTACGTAGCAGGTCAAGACATTTTGTCGCTCAAAAGTTGTTTACCTTCGATGAGGCTGGTTAGGGTTTAGGCCCAGTGAGAACGTGCCTGAATGAGGTCGATTTGGGGCGTGTGAGATCGCATCCGGCTGTACATACTCGTGCTATGTCGATTTAGGTCGAATGGGTCGTATTTAGCGCCCATCTGATGTTTGTATTAGCTCTGTGGTCGCGAGATCGGACGTGCATGTCTCTAAGGACATGACGTCTGCTTGTAATTTACAAGCTTGGGCTCCCCAATGCATTATGCATTAACTTGTGTTTGTCTTTGGCAGATTGCGCGCCGCGACCTCTCTCCGTGTAGCACATCCGCCTGCTCTGGACGCTCACTCCTATTAGGACACCTGGCGACCATTCTCTCGCCCTCCACACAAAGAGTTTGCTTACGAACCCATCGTGTCGAAATGGCGTCTCCCAAAAAGTTCTATTGCAATTGCGTCAGGTACTGCGGGGGGCAAAAACGCAAAGTTTCGCGGTCCACCCATTTCAGCCATGCCCCTTACCGGGACGAAGATCTGCAACAGGCTTTTCAACAAGCCCTTCTGGCCGGTGGGTCAGCGGGTTTGCCATCAACAGTCCCCGATTTGGCACAGGCCGGTCGCACGACTGGCAAGCGGCGCAGAACGCAGACAACGGTACACTTTTTGAGGCTTGTTGACGCAGAAGTCAGTATACTCAGTAATTTTAGGTGCCGGCGCAACAGCCTATGGACGCAGGCTCGTCTTCCTCCATTGGTAACCAGGCGCACCAGCCCATGGACGCGGGCTCGTCTTCCTCAGCTGGTGACACCGGTCTGGCTCAAGGACCTACCGACGAAGATCCGCAAGAGAGTGGCGAGGTAAGTTTTGCCTCTAGCCGGGAACCCAGCGTACGTCGATCGGGCGCGATACGACGCACCTATTCATGAGGGGCTCCCTCACGCGCATATATGCACTTGTCTTGCGGAACGGCGTACCAGTGGAGACCATGAGCGCCTCGATGATCGCCGGAGATCTCTCGGTGTAGCGTCATCAGGGCCGCTCAATGCTTGAGGACGCAGGACGCAGGACGTGTTCAGAGGCCATTGATGGCTAAGCGAGACTAACCAACAAGCTCGCCTTCGAAACGTGCAGACCTCTCGCCTGTTTGCTGCCCTTGCATGTTCTCCGCGCGCCGAGCGGCAGACGTAGGGTGATCAACGTGCTGACTTTCCCCGCGCATCCCTATACAGGATCCAGATCCTTTCCCTTTCCAGGATGCTGAGCTAGAACAAGCGGATGTTCCAATGCGCGACGCCGACCGCCGTGAGTCCTCCCTACGACCTCCTGCGACTGTTGAAGAGGTGCCGGAAGAAGAGCCGGAGTTTGGTATCCACGATGAGACGGGCACACTCCCCGCGCCTTCTCTCGAGGAGCTGAAACAATCAATGGCTTTCGTGAAGGCTCTCAAAAACGCGTCGCTCGAAGAATCGGGACTGGATCCGAAGGTCATCGAGCGGATGCGTAATCCGGAGCGTGACGGAGACCTGCCGGACCTCCAGGCACCTGAAAACCGCGCGCTACGACTCGCGCTCAAACAATTCATCTCGACCGGCCACTCAGAAAAAATCTATCGGGACTGTCGGGCGAACATAATGGAGTATAATGAAGGTCTCACCCTGCCTAGCTACGAGGCGATGCAAAAACTGGTTGAAGAGCTCAGCGGGGTCGTACCGATTGTCACTGACATGTGCCCAGAGACCTGTCTCGCGTACACGGGTCCATTCGCAGGCCTCGATCGGTGCCCATACGCGGACTGTGGTGCCGCGCGGTACGAGACGCGTGGCACCAAACGTGTGGCGCGCCGAACTTACCAGACGCTTCCGCTGGGCCCGCAGGTTCAAGCGCTCTACCGGTCGCGACATTGCGCCAAACGAATGCGATACCGCGAGAATGTCATGGAGGAACTGTTGCGCATGGCAAACACTCAGAAGATGGTGGAGGTCGCCGAAGACGTTTTCTTTGCAGAGGAGTACCTGAAACTGGTCGAGTCGGGCACCATCCGAGAGAACGACCTCGTGCTCATGTTCTTCCTTGACGGCGCGCAGCTGTACGAGTCGAAGCAGTCCGACTGCTGGATTTACATCTGGGTCCTCTTCGACTTGGCGCCCGACATGCGCTACAAGAAGCGCTACGTCCTTCCAGGCGCTTTCATTCCGGGGCCCAACAAGCCCAAGAATGTCGACTCATTCCTGTTCCCTGGGCTATACCACGTCGCTGCACTCCAGAATACCCCCCTCAAAATATGGGACTCGGATCGGCAGACGATTGTCGAGTCGCGACCGATCATACTCTTTGCAACTGGCGACACTCCAGCAATGGCTTATATCAACGGGCTCGTAGGCCACTCGGGGGCGCATGGTTGCCGGTTGTTCTGTCCCCTTAAGGGGCGCCGCAAGCCTGGGGGAGGCGGCCATTACTACCCGGCCATGCTCAAACCGGCAGATCCGGAGTACGAGAGTATCCGGGGGAGCAACCACGCTGACTACGTTCTCCGAAACCCACCCCCTGTGCACGAAACGAGCTCTGAGCGGTACTGGCGGCAGCTCGGCGAAGTTCTACAATGTCAAAATCAGAAACAGTACGCCGCCAAACGACTCGAGACTGGCATAGCAAAACCTTCGCTCTTTATGGGACTTCCGGTTAACTGTGGTTTTCCTGGGAGCTTTCCTGCCGACATAATGCATCTTCTGACGCTGAATGTTACTGATCTTGTTCTGGGTCTTCTGCGCGGCAACCTGAAACGTTCTGACACTGACTCTCTTGCGGACTGGGACTGGGCGTGTTTGTCAGACGACGAGACCTGGCGGGCTCACGGCAAGCTGGTAGCGGATGCATCTCTCTATCTCCCTGGGTCCTTTGATCGTCCTCCGCGGAATCCTGCTGAGAAGATCTCTAGTGGTTACAAAGCCTGGGAGTACATGTACTATGTCTATGGCTATCTCCCCGGTCTTCTCTGGTCTGTGCAGAAACCCAAGTATCACGCGCACCTCTGCAAGCTTGTGGCTGGCGCCCAGCTGGCACTCCTGCTCGAAACCCCAGTGCCGCTCCGGCAGCCTGCTCATACCTTATTGGTCGAGTATGTGGAAGAGTTCGAGGAGATGTTTTACAGTCGCCGGGTCGATCGGCTTCACTTCTGCAGGCAGGCGCTACACGGCCTTGTCCATCTGATGCCCGAGAACGCGCGTGTTGGGCCAGCTTGGTTGCACTCGCAATGGCCTCTCGAGAACGCTATAGGAAATCTGACTGCCGAAATTGGATCCCATTCAAAGCCGTACGCAAATCTTTCGCAGCGAGGCCTCCGACGTGCGCAGATCAGCGCTCTCATCGCGATGTTTCCCGACACCTTGGAAGAGGTCTCCCAGCTCCCACAGGGTGCCATCGATCTCGGCGACCGATTTGCGCTGCTCCATCCAACGATGCGCAACCCCCGGGCAGTGCCCGCGGATGACTCGGGCGCCCTTATCACTTTCCTCACGATGCAGGGTGTCAGGACTCCCGAGCATTGGATCCCCCGTCTCATCTATTGGGGTCGATTGATGCTACCTAATGGGCAAATCGCGCGCACCGCCTGGAAAGAATGCGAGGGCGAGCGACGGGGGCGCCCCGTTCATCGATCGCGCATGGTGAAGGTACCATGTCTCATTTGTTGCACATTCGGGTTTAGCTCACACCGATCATTGGGCAGCTCACAGACGGTTCCTTTGCAGAGGTTCAATATTTTTTTAGGCTCAAGAAGATGCGCGAGGACGGGGGCACGGACGATGTCGATATGACCTTGGCGATGGTCTCCATGTTCACCCCACCCGACCCAGCCATCCTGCGTGACACATATGGGGCCCTAAAGGCATGTAGGTATCAAGGAGATGCATCTCGGGTGGTGATTGACGTGAAGCGCATTGCCTCGGTGGTTGCAATGGTCCCGTTGCCTCCGAGACGTGAGGAGGCCGAAGACCTGCACGCCGCTGAGTTGTACTCAGGTCGTTTTTTTGTAGTGCAGCGACTAGGGTTTGATTGTTCGTGGATCGGGCGGGAGGAAAATGCTGCACGGGAAGATGATTCTGACGATGAGAACTAATATACATTCATTGCATACCACTACATTGAGTGCGACTCCGGCAAAACGAACATGAGTGTCCCGACTAGTGCAAAGAAAAGCCGCAGCCGACCAGGTGTGCTTCAAGTAGTCCTGAGAGTACTGTTGTTCTGGCCCACATTTGGAGAGAGATTCACGAGCGAGAGCGCGCGGCAGAGAAACCCGACGAAGACGTCGCAAAGTCGTCCCATGGCGAACGTGAGGAGCCCGCGGAATGGCGAGAGGTGTCCGGAGGGTTGTCGCTCACAGATCTGGCGGATGAAGCAGATGAGGAGGGTGCCGTTGAGCCTGCGACAGTCTGAGCCCAACCAGATGAACGAAATGGCGTCAAGGGTCCAGGAGGATAGGGTGTCTTGCGAGCTCCGCGCGAAGTCTTGGACCTGCGCTGATGGGTCCCCTCAGAATTCGACACAACAGAACGCGAGAGAGAGAGAGGTGGAGGAGGAGGCATGGGCTTCGGCCAGACAGGGTCCTCGGGCCGTCCAAGGAGAGGGGCAGCAGGAGGTTGCACAAGGGCTTCGGCGGTGATGGATTCAACAGGGAGATAGCTCACAGCACGGGAGACTACAGTCGTTTCTTGAACAATAGGGCTGAACGGCAGACATATGCGTCACAAGCAGGGTGTACTTTGTGAGTGCACACGAGATGAGTAGGAGGAAGGGGCTTACTCGTCGTCCTTGTCTGCACGCGCGTCCCACAACATGTCGCAGAAATCCATGTATCGATCCCACACCTGATAGAAAATTTGTCCCACAGAATCATCGTCTAGCAGCTCCGCCTTGTCGTCACCCATATCCAGACGATATGCCTCACGGGCTGCATTGGCTGACAGCCGCAGGAGGCTGTAAGCGAGGCGTTCTTTGCGCGGGGCATCTGGGCTTGGAGAACAACTAGGAAATATGCCGAATGCATCCAAGAGGGATATTGGGGTGACTGGGTCAGACAGGACACTGTATAACGATGAGTGATATCAGGAAAAGTGGGCGAGAGATGCACGGACACATTTGAATGGCAGGAAGACAAAGATTCTAGACGGTCCTCCGTCGCATTGAGAAATTCTTGTACAGGTGTGGGCACATCTTCCAAATATGGCGGGCCATCTTTGCACAATCCAGCAAGAACGCGCACGGCTTGCATCTAAGTTACTCGCGACGACTCAAAACGGTGCAAGTTGTTCGGTATACAGGTCAGACGAAGGCTACAAGGATCGGTACCGCAGCGAAGAGAAGGCACAGTGAAGAGAAGAATGGAAGATGAGACGAAGGCCAGCAGAGTTGCTACCGCAGTGATAAACTCGGGGCTGTGAAGACAAAGATTAGATCCGACTAGAGTCGAAGCAAGATCTTCAGTCAGTAAGGAAAGACTATATTGCAGCAACGAACTGTACCTAGAGTCGAAGCAAGACTACAAAGGTTAAGTAAGTAACTACAAGTTAGAGGTAAAGGTAACAAAGTACTCACTCTTCAGTCAGTAAGGAAAGACTGAAGAGGGAGGACGCAATCTGAAGTCCTTATATACTACAGAGAAGTGTCCATGACTAATCGAAGAGTGGTTAGTCACATGTACCATAGTGCAATGAATAATACGATGGTGAAAGAATTGCGACGTATCGCACCATAGGATGAGTAAGAGATGAGTAAGGCATAGACCTGTCTAGACCGTTCTGGAGTAGTACGGATTGTCCTAGACAGTACCAGAAGAGTCCGGAAGCATAGCTATAGTACACGAGCAGAGAGTCCCAAAT